AGTGTTGCTGAACAGAGACTTTGGAGTGCAGGTTCATAGTTCCTTGAAAGTGGAGTTGCAGGTAGTCAGGATAGTGAAGAAGGTGTTCGGTATGCTTGCCATGGAGGTCATGTTGCAGCTGTACGGGACATTGGTTAGCCCACTTTTGGAATACTGTGATCAATGCTGGTCTCCCTGCTATAGGAAAGATGTTGCAAAACTTGAAAGAGTTCAGAAAAGATTACAAGAATGTTGCCAGGCTAGTAAGGTTTGACCTATAGGGAGATGCTGAATAGGCTAGGGCTATTTTAACTGGAGCATCAGAGGCTGATGGGTGACCTTATAGAGGTTTATAAAATCATGAGGGGCATGGATAAGATGAATAGCTAAGGTCTTTTCTCTAGTGTGGGGGAGTCCAAAACTAGACGGCATAGGTTTAAAGTGAGAGGGGAAAGATTTAAAAGAGATCTAAGTGGCAACCTTTTCACACAGAGGGCGATGCGTGGGTGGACCAAGCTGCCAGGGAAAGTGGTGGGTGGCTGGAACAATTACAACATTTAAAAGGCATCTGGATGGGTATATGAATAGGAAGGGTTTTGAGGGCGAAATGCTGGCAAACGGGACTAGGTAAATTCAGGATATCTGGTCGGCACAGACGAATTGAGCTGAAGGGTCTGTTTCGACGCTGTACTGCTCTGACTCTATAACATCTAAAGGTAAGTGCCAAAATTGGGACAGCTGTCTCAGACTAGTCAAGCAAATGCCTGACATTGTCTGCAAGGTATGAATCTTTGAGTATGACTATGTCCCAGACACCACTGTTACCATCCCTGGATTTGTCCTGTTCCACCACAAGACATGGTGGCCCAATAGAATACAGTCAGGAGGGAGTTGCCCTAAGAATCCTCAATATTGATTTGAGGCCCCATGAAGTCTCATGGTTTCACGTTAGACAAGGGCAAGGAAACAGCCTGCTGATTACCATGCACCGTCTTTCCTCTGCTGATGAATCAGTACTCCTCCATGTTGAACAACATTTGAAGGAAGCACTGAGGATGGCAAGGGCACAAATGTACTCTGGGTGGGGGATTTCCATATCCACTACCAAGAGTGGCTGGCAGTAGTACTACTGATTGAGCTGGTCTTAAAGGACATTGCTGCTAGATTGGGTCTACAGCAGGTGATGAGGGAACCAACAAGAGGGAAAAATATTCTTGACCTCATCCTTGTCAATCCGTCAATTGCAGATGCATCTGTCCATGTCAGTATGGGTAAGAATGACCACTGCACACAGTCTTGTGGAGACGAAGTCCCACCTTCACACCTCCAATAACGAACCTCCATTGTGTTTTGTGACACTACCACCATACTAAATGGGACAGGCTTCGAACAGATCTAGCAACTCAAGACTGGGCATCCATGAGGCACAGTGGGCCCTCCAAAGCATTTGAATTGTCTTCCAGTACAATCTGTAACCTCATGGCCCAGTATATTCCTCAGCCAACCATTAACATCAAGTCAGGGGATCAATCATCATTCAAGGAGACTCCAGAAGGGCATGCCAAGAGCAACACCTGGCATACCCGAAAATGAGGTGCTAACGTATTGACTAACCAGGACTACTTGCATGCCAAATAGCATTACCAACAAGTGATAGAGCTAAGCGATCCACAACCAATGGATCAGATCTAAACTCTGCAGTCCTGCTACATCCAGTTGTAAATGGTGGTGGACAATTAAACAATTCACTGGAAGTGGCAGCTCCACAAACATTTCCATCCTCAATGACGGATGGGCTTAACATCAGTGCAAAAGACAAGGCTGAAAGAATTTGCAGTGATCTTCAGCAGAAGTGCCGACTGGATGATTCATCTCCACCTCCTCTAGTGGTCCCCAGCATCACAGACACCAGTATTGAGCCAATTCAATTCACTCCATGTGATATCAGAAACAGATACAGACGCTGGATATTGCAAAGCCGATGGGCCCTGATAACATTCCAGTAGACTTGTGTTCCAAAACTTGCTGCTTCCCTAGCCGAGCTCTTCTAGTACAGTTACAACACTGGCATCTACCCGACAATGTGGAAAATTGCCCTCCACCCGAGTGCTTGCTAGCAGCAGTGTGTACTATCTTCAAGATGAAATGCAGAAATTCAAAGATCCTCAGGCAGCACCTTCCAAACTCTCAACCACTTCCATCTAGAAGGACAAGGGCAGCAGATACATGGGATCACCACGACCTTCAAGTCTCCCTCCAAGCAACTCACCAACATGGCTCGGAAATACATCACCATTCCTTCCACATTGCTGGGTCAAGATCTTGAATTCCCTTCCTCATAGCATTGTAGGTCAACCCACAGCAGGTGGGCTGTAGCAGTTCAAGAAGGCAGCCCCCCAATACCTTCTCAATGGCAACTAGGGAGAGGTAATAGATGTTGGCCAGTCAGCGACACCCACATCCCATGAACGAATATAAAAAATTCTGCCTGCCCCCTTCTGACTCTTGCAAGTCACTTATCACCTTACATCTGGTTGTTTGTTTTCATGTGTAGCCTCAATGTTACAGCATCAAGCATTGCTTCATGGTCACAGATGATGTTCCATGGATGGAGATCTATTCTGAGATTCTGCTGCATCATCTGGCAGCACGAGGAACAAAATGCATATGGGGCTATGGGTGCTTCTGATACCTTAGCCCTCCTCATACAGCATCACTGTTCTTCAGTGGCCTCAGTGTCCAAAAATATAGCTGTCAGAGTTGCTCAGCAATTTCTGTTGCAGGGACGTAGTGGTGGGGTGGGGTGCGTGATGCATCAAGACGTCAAGGAAATGAACCCTACAACTTTGTATCCTGTATAGTACATGGATCTGTGCACAATACTCTCTCTTTAAAAAAATCCTAACATTGGTGGGTCCTACATCCCCTGCTTTCATAGGTCAAGTAACTTACTCTTATCACACCGAGTATGCTTGCAGCCATTTTCTTCTCTTGAAAGTTACAGCATAATGGAAGGTGACAATGAGCTCTCGTAGCAAGTGTCTTGCAATACTTGCTTCAAGTGAGTCCTCAGAGAGCTAAACTCTTTCTGACAGTCATTGATTTATTGTATCCCCACTTGCGGATACCATTGCTCTCTTTGCAACCATCAACTCCCTTTTTCCCCACAGCCTGCAGCGCTAGTCCTGAAGAATGATAGTCTTATCCCGCTTCAAGAGCCACTCTTGCAACCACCACACCACCCGTTTCCCTTTTTCTTCAATTTCTGCAGACAAAGTTGATGGACTGACTGTGGTTCACCCCCTTGAATGACTCAACTGAACAGGCCTAGATGAGAAGCACCCAGATCCCTGACAGGTGGTAGTACTCGAACATATCAGCCTTATCCTCAGGGCTGGCTTCCATGGAGCCACAGACTCTCAGTGACCCATAGCCTGGTCAGCAGAAGCATACACATCCTGAGCGTGAGCTCTCCAACTGGACCTGTTGGTATTGCTGTTGACTTACTCTGCTGGAACCTCCTGACTAATAGATGCCCCAACTGACTTCAGTAAGCACCACTCCTATAAGACTGAGACATGGCTGCCTGCTTGCTGCACATGCAACGTGTGTGCCATGTAAACTGCTGCCTCACGGTAAAGGTGTGAGATTGCTGTAGTACACAGCTATACAACAACATGTGCACTCCCTTGACTGAGAACTGCTGACCAGCAAGGAAAGTCTGGTTGTGTGCATTTGTTAAATGGTGTCAGAATGCAAGGATAAAAGAAAATGGTTTGAGGACAGAAAAAAAGTGTCATGATAAATGGTTATTTTTCAAACTATTAGGCGGCATTCCCCAAGCACCATTGTTAGGGAACTGCTGAGATGCTACAGAGGAGATTTACTAGAATGGTTATAGGGACGTGGTATTTTAGCTATGAAGTTAGATTGAAGACTCTAATGTTTTTCTCATGAAAGCAAACGAATTTGAGTGGTGATCTGTCAGAGAAGTTCAAGATAATGTGGACAGAGATGCTGTTCTCATTAGCAGGTGGCACAAGGCCTAGGGGATACAGATTTCAAGTTTTGGATTAGAGGTGCAATGAAAATGTGAGGGTGACGCAGACAGAGATGATCAATGATTCACAAAAAATGCAGAGCTTTAGGGATAGAGTGGGGGGAATGGAACAGAACAAATTGCTTGTCGCAATCTGACATAGACCTGATGGTGATGCTGAATGGTCTCTGTCCGTGGAGTAATATCTCCATGACCACACTGTGAGTTTGGTGTCGATCGTAGGCTCACTCTTGCCTCAGAGTTAGAAAGTGTGGGTTCACATCCCTCTCCAGAGACTAGGGAACAAAATCAAGCTAATTTAGCATTGTAATATTGAGGGAGTGCAGCTATTGCAGATACTGTTTTTTGGCTGAAACATTAATCTGAGGCCCCAGCGGCATCTCATACCTGTTAAAGATCTTCAAAATATATTTTGAAGAAGTGCTGAGCTGGCCAATGTTTATCACTAAACAGGTCATAAAAGCAAAATACTACACAAGATCTGACAGCCACTCTGAAGAGAGAAAAACAGTCATTATTTTAGACCTGTCATTGCTCTAATGAAAAGTCACAGACCTGAAAAGCGATCGCCTTTTCTCTCTCCACAGATGTTCCCAAAGCTGAGAATTTCTCAGACTTTCTGCCAAATGGTTATCATTATTTTTCTATCCATGGTTTTTCAGGCAAATTGGCTCATGTATTTCCCTCAGTGTTTACCCTTCAAAAGACACTGGTGAAAAGTGTTGTGGAATAGCCTGGGATTGTGAAAGGCACCACAGTGCAAAATTCTCTTTCTAAATAAGAATTAGTTAACTATCAAATTTAACTGGATTAACAAGGTTTTCACTTCAACCCTCAATTTTATAGAGCATATTCACCATTATTATATACTAGAATGGTTGATGCACTTTTTAAAACTGAGTTTTTAAACAAACTGTTAGCTGCAGCTTACTGTGGAGTTCGGACACCAGTTACCACTCACCTTATTAAACTCCACGGTTCTTAGCCCTTGGATCTCAGTCCCTTCATGAAAAAAAAATGAAAAGGGAGCATATTATGAAGAAACTTTGTTTTGTAACATAGGAGCAAATTACTGCAGATGCTGGAATCTGTACTGAAAACAAAAGAAGATGCTGGAGATCACAGCGGGTGTCAGGCAGCATCCATGGAAAGACAGCAAGCTACATACCAAGAGTTTTCATTTTGTAATTCATTAGTAGAATAGAGAACATATGATGCGGCATACAGGACTCTACAATCTTGCACGTTTTTAAATTTCATGGAAGAGCTTACTAAGTTGTTTGGCAACCCCACAAAGTTATTAATGCAGCGTCTGTCCCTTTGAAGCAAAAACTGTAGTAGTATGAACACAGATTTTCTACTACCATTAGCACTCTCACAATGATTGATCTGCCTGACTCACTTCGGAAATTGAATAGAATCAAACCTTAAACATTGCGGCATGCTAAATTACTCTGAGGCATGAAATTGTAATTAACAGAAAACCTGGGCTAATTAATCAAATCCACTTAACAGTATTTATGTTTAGACCAAAACTAGGAAAAATGATCAATTAACTGATTCTGTTCAGAAGGATGCTTTCAGTGTTACTCAAAGTTAATTTTAAACATGCATATGTATATGCATGAGATACTGAATCTGGACAAAAGCAGGAGTTATATTCATTAAGAATTCTTTTTTCAGAGAAGAATTCTGGGAATTATTAAACTCTTCACTAACTCAGGTTCCCTGCATATTATCCAGCTGGGAAAGAACAATGCAGGAATTCACAAAAAAGACCTGGATTTCAGGCAGAGATAGTAATGACTGCCAATGCTGGAGTCAGAGATAACACAGTGTGGAGCTGGAGGAGCACAGCAGGCCAGGCAGCATCAGAGGAGCAGGAAAGTTGACGTTTCGGGTCGGGACCCTGTTCTGAAATGGGGGAGGGGGAAGGGAGCGCCAAAATAAATAAAGAGGAGGAGTGGGGCTGAGGAAGGTAGGTGGGATGGTGATAGGTGAGTGCAGGTAGGCAGTGCTGGGGATTGGTCAGTGAGGTGGGAGAGAAGATGGACAAATTGTGTCAGGTCAAGAAAGAAGGGATGAGAGGGAGGGTTGGTCATGGGATGAGGCCAGGAGTGGGGAGATTTTGAAACTGGTAAAGTCCACGTTGAGACCAATGGGTTGTAGGCTTCTAAGGAGGAATATGAGGTGCTGCTCCTCCAGTTTCCAGGTGGCGTCATTATGACACTCTGGAGGAGGCCCAGGATGGACATGTCGTCCAGGGAATGGGAGTGGGAGCTGAAATGGTTACCGACTGGAAGGTGTTGTCGTTTGTCACGTACAGAGCGCAGGTGCTCTACGAAGCGGTCTCTGAGCCTCTGTTTGGTCTCACCCATGTACAGGAGGTCACATCGAGAGCAGCGGATGCAATAGACCACAGTAATGATGTGCAGGTGAACCTCTGTCAGATGTGAAAGGTTTATCCGGTGCCTTGGATGGAGGTGAGGGGGCAGGTGTAGCACTTCCTGCGGTTGCAGGGAAAGGTGCCGGGGGTGGTGGGGCTAGTGGGGAGCGTGGAGTGGACGAGGAAGTCGCAGAGAGAGTGGACCCTATGGAAGGCAGATAGGGGTGGGAAGGGAAATATATCTTTGGTTGTTGGGTCGGATTGCAAGTGGCGGAGAATGATACATTAAACACGGAGCTTAGTGGGGTGATGTGTCAGAACAACGGGGATTCTGTTTTTAATTTTGTTGCGGTGAGGGGATATGAGGGCGGAGGTGCGGGAAGCACAAGAGATGCTCTCGACCACATCTCTTGCGTTTCCTGCAAGACAAAACCTTCCGGTCGCGAACCATTTCAACTCCCCCTCCCACTCCCTGGGCGACATGTCCATCCTGGGTCTCCTCCACTGTCACAATGACGTCACTCGGAAACTGAAGGAGCAGCACATCATATTCCACCTTGGGAGCCTACAATCCAATGGTCTCAATGTGGACTTTACCAGTTTCAAAATCTCCCCACTCCTGGCCTCATCCCATGACCAACCCTCTGTCCCATCCCCGCTTCCTTGACCTGACACAACCTGTCCATCTTCTCTCTCATCTATCTGCTCCTCCCACCTCACTGACCAATCCCCACCATTATCTACCTGCACTCACCTATCACCATCCCACCTACCTTTCTCAGTCCCACCCCTCCTCTATTTATTTCAGAGCTCCCTTTCCCCTCCCCCATTTCTGAAGAAGGGTCCCGACCCAAAATGTCAACTTCTCTGCTCCTCTTATGCTGCCTGGCCTGGATTTCAGGCACCATCTTTTGGGCAAAGAGGGAGGGAGGGTAAGAACAGAAGGACATGTAACAGCAGATTTGGAAGACATACTCTCTCTTTTGCCTTTTATTTCTTTCAGTCTCTTGGATGACAAAGACTGGTAAAAAGCAAATGGGAGAAACATATATTCATTGAGAACTTCAAGCTATCTACAAACTTTGCAATCGCTGAAGCTAAAAGTCATCGATTAAACTATTGTGCTCTCAGGTTAAACCTAATATCTCAAGGACCTTTTTAAACTACATGTATCTAATCTATATTTTTGCAGTCTCCCCTTTTTAAACATTTTATCTGTGTTTGTATGATTGATGTTGCACTTTGTTATTTTTCTTAGGGTTGGTAAATAATACAATCCCTTACTCTCTCACGCAAGAAAACCCGGCAATTGGTGTCTTTGTTTTGATATAGTGAACTATGTTTTAACTGAAGTTGTGATATAGCTGCATACTAAAAGAAAATTTAAGTTGTTGCAGCCAACTGAGGAAGTTCAAAAGACATGAGCTAATCCAACCCTCCTCACCTGGTCGTAACAAACTAAATGCTAGTTATTGGAATTGATAAACTGCTTACTGCCAACTTAGGTTATGCTTACTAAGGCAATGGTAAAATCAATTTGTGGGATGACATAGCCTAACCATTCTTGGTGCTAAACAAATCAGAGTTTTTCATGATAATTTACTAACACATTCACTGCAATGGAATAACATATGATGAAAAACATATTCCTATTTTTACAATAAATGTTCATTCTAATTTAAGAAATCAATTTTTTTTTGCAAATTAAAAAGTGAGACATTATAACTAGAACAGAGACAGGGTCATCTTAGCTTTTAAGGCTCACTGAAACATGTATAAGTAATGCATTGCAACATTGTCCCAGGCTGATGTGTATTCCTGCCCTTTAGAAATAAAGACTTGTGTCACATTTTAATAAAACTCCAGTAGAATACTCAGGATTAACCCACAAGACTCAATAGCTCTTACAGGCAGGTTTTCTGTACCCAGTTTCGTGTAGATCAGCTTGGGTAGATCCAGATGTAGCAGAATAGAACGTGGTCAGTCCGCCACTACTACTCCCTTCACTGACCTGAGAGAATAGCCACAATTAGCATGACTGCGATTATAAAATTAATATGTCTAAACATTGCTTTGAGTATTCAGAATACAGGTTTTTCAGATAATAACGTCATGTACAACCTGATATTATTCTTTTCAGTATCACAATATTTTTATAACTTTATAAGTTTTTAGTCTTAGCCCTAAAGTACAAAAATAGGAGTTGTACATTTTCTAGAGAGAAGAAAGCAAATAAATTTGCACGTCGTTTGCCAAAAAACTTCCTTTTGGTAATCAAAATCATTATGTCATCTACCCTGGACCACAAGTATCACAAAAATACAAAATGCTGTTTTATTAGTTGGAACTTTTTTTTAAGAATCCTCAAGGTCCTTTTTTGAGAATTTTAGCTAGTGACACTAATACAGGATTAAGATAACCATAAAAAGGATTATCTATACGCTTGGGAATTTATGATGCAATTAATCCCTCAACAATCCCTTAGATTAATGCTGCAAAATATTATTAAGGATTCAACTATTAATAATGCTGAAATACTAAATCAAGACATTTTAAATGATTAACACTACACAAACTACAAATTTTTCTCATAAATATATGACAGTATCCTTTCAATAATCATTAATACTGCAGCTGTTTTGCAATATATTCTGATTTTCCATCGCTGCGAAACAAGTGTAAGGTTATAGTAACTAGCAGGAAATAGAGCAGGAGTTACAAACAGGAATGAAAAACTTGTGAATGGAAAAGTTACCAGAACATTTTGTTAATATTAATTCTAGTATATTGAAACGGCAATGTAATGAGTTGATAAAAATTACTTATGGGCTCTTCCTTTATTTAAAATTTCATAACACAAATATTTCAGGCTTGACGTTAGATATTGTTACATGATGTTAGATGTTAAATTTGCAGACTTTCTAATGCTGATGTTCTTTTTACCAATTTAAATAGATTGCTGTTGATGAAAATCAGAACAAAAATAATGGTACTATAATTGTGATGACCACCTTCTCAAGAATAAGTAAGGATGGCCAAGAACATTGATCTTATCAGGAATGTTTGCATGAAAGATAAACCAGTTCCAAGTAACATAAAATAAGCTGCTTGGAGCTTTCTATTTTCACAGGTTCCGTTATCAGTTTATGCCTTTATAGATCCACCTTTAGCAACAAACCGCGCCATCTGTCCCAAAAGATGCAAACATAAAACTGGCCAAGATAAATTTTACAGTTTAAGTCAAAGTCCTATGTTTCAGACTGTAGACCAGTTCTGTACTGGAAGTGGTAGTGGTCAGAATGGACAATGGGAGAGGTGGAGTATTAAAAGCATTACTTCACCATTGACTTTTCTAGAACCTTTATTATACATACATTTTAAAATACTGGCAATTTTTGAAAAGCCATAAGTTAGCTGAAAAACATTGGAGGTAGGTGACACGGAGCAATATTTATGGACATTCTTCAAAGCTAATTAGCCTTCAGTTTCATTTGTGTATTGAAATCCATTTCCTCAAAAAAAGAAGTTAATATGACACCAAATCATATTGGGAAATTAATACAGGCAACACCTGAGATATCTTACTGTCTGTAAGTACTTGAAGACTTATTCCAAGAATTTAATTAGAAATTATCCCTACTCCTCAAACATGATAAATCCAAGATTAATAATAATCAATGTTCGAAATTCAATCCAGTAAAATGTCCACATTGTACCCCTTTTGTAAATAAAATCGTTAAAAATCACAAACTTTAGAGTTATTTGGTGTCAACTAAAAATGTAAAGAATATACAGCAGTTACTAACATTAGATTCATAATTTGATTTTACATCATGTGCTTCCAGCATCAGTTAGCTGCACTTGACTAAAATAATCATTGCTCCATCTGCTTATAATTTACACAAACTGTAAAAGAGATGACTAATATCCAGCCCTACAAATCAATTTACTTTATTTTGTTGTGGAAAGCTCAAACATCAGCTTAGAGATACGAACCTGGCTACTTTGGGAACCTCTTCTATCAGGTGAGAATGATCCAGCCTTTAACCTGCCAACCTCTAATCTCACTGTGCCTTGTGCACACTAAAACAAAGAACAGAAAGATTACTTTATCTATTGAATATCTGAGAACATTTCAATCTGTACAAGTGGAGAGTATGAGTTAACTCGTCAGGAACTTTTACATTTTGTATTACATCACATAAAATCGTGGAATACTCTACATGTCAGAACAAACTGCTATATGGCTATTCTATGCTAATGAACTGACACAGAAAATAAAACACATGCTCACGGAGAGCAGGTCTTTAGGAAACCACTTTGTCACATGTGCCAGATAAAAGGAATAGAGAACTAATTTTCTTCGATTTTGAATCTGGGAAATGAATATTTCTGAAGTGTCCACTTGGAAACAAGAGGTGGAGACTTGGATCATTTAGTTGCACGATAAATGGTGCAACAGAATTCCAATGTGAAAGAAAGGAGGGCTGTGCCATCCTGCTTTTGAATAAGGTCATGAAAGCAACTAAGTTTTTTAGAATAGCATGGGACATTCAAACATAATGTCACGGCGGAAAAATCTAATGAAGTGGCCCAATTGATTGAAATGTCCGAGGGAGGGTTAAAGGTCTGTAGGTCTCCTCTAAAGAAACTAGAGTTTGATAAAAGTTCTGTGGAGCACACCTAAACAGCTTAGGGCAGTAAAATAGGGACAATTACAGTACTAGACAGATACATGGCCTTAGTATGTTAAAAGACAAGATAACTCCTTTGTTCCCGAATCGCTTGTCGCCATTTTAATTATTCCTTTCTATGTTTATAGAAGTTATTGCTATCTCATTTTATATTATCTGTTCCTAGCACGAGTAAACTTCCACTTTCACCTCCACAACACACTTTCTACTTTATCCATTACTTTCTCTTCCATTTTTAGCCCAGAATCAGATCAGGCTAAAATTTAGCTTTAAGTTCTATATTTATGCATGGCATTACGTTATTTGCTTTCCCTTAAAAGGATACATCATCCAACTCATAGAATCCCTACAGAGTGGAAACAGGCCATTTGGCCCAACAAGTCCACACCGCCCCTCCAAACAGCATGCCACCCAGACCCATTCCCCATGTCTAATCCACCTAATTTACACAACCCTGGACACTCGGGCAATTTAGCATGGCCAATCCACCTAACCTGCACATCTTTGGACTCTAGGAGGAAACCCACGCAGACACGGGGAGAATGTGCAAACTCCACAAAGACAGTTGCCAGAGGGTGGAATCAAACCCTCTGAGGCAGCAGTGCCAACCCTGCTGATTAGTCATCCGGATTACTAACTTCTTGGCTGAATTAAGTTTGGCCAGATCCCTTATCCTTTGGTTACGACAAGGCTAAAATGAAAGTCCTGTAACAAAAATTGTATTTCTCACTTAGTTTTGGAAAACTCATGGAACAAATGACTAGCTGTGTCCATTATGAGAATATATCAACATCAAAATACTTCAATTTTTCCACTGCCGAAATTAACAAGTCTTGGTCACATTTACTGTTTCCAAATCCTTGCCAAATCATAATTTATGCATTAGTCAGACCTTCAGCATAGCAGCAACAGTCTCCTGAGTTGCGCTTCGAACATCCTCTCCATTCACAGACAGTATTTGGTCCCCTTGCACAAGGCTTCCATCCAGATCTACTATTCCTCCTTTCACAATGTCTGACACAAAGACCCCAGTATCATTTCTGTAGAAAACAAGTACAGACTTTAATTAGGTGTGACAAATACTGGGGAGATGCTGCGTTCCGCGTGGTGTGGTAGTGGTGGGGTTGGGGAGGAGGAGAACATGCTTCTTAATATATGTTCGCAAGCTAGTAAGGATTATTTAAGTCATCTGGATTTGGTGAAATATATTCCATAACGTCTTAGGTGAAATTGTTTATGAATCTATACCAGGAACATGGAATTGCCTGCATAGTGGAAAAACTAGGAACATTAAACTATAAGCCCATATATGGCAATGTATTTGTTTTTTATATAAATGGAAAGAAAAATCAGATGGGAGTTTTGTTTTACAATCATGTAGACTGATCTTAATTTTCACTGCATTCTAGTGTTATGGACCAGATCAGGCCCCCTCAAAATATACTAAGAAGGTAGCCTATACCCTAACTTTTTCTTATTTCAAAAGGTAAATGTCAGGTGCTGTGTTCCAACTGCAATTTAATTGGTTAAACTACTTGACATTAAGCAAAACACAATTTATTCAAAAGCTGTAGTTAAAATACAACAAAAGAAAGAAGAATGTGGAATAACTTACTCTACTGGAAAACTTAACAGAATACTAGATATAGTAACTATTACTAATTAACTGTTCCAATATAGGAAAAAGGCAAATTCAGAAAACAGCTTTGTCTCACATGCAGTCCAGCAGCCTAGGAAGAGAAACCCTAGCTTTTGGCTATAATTAAGAGAGGGAAAAATAACTTCCACTTCTTCAAGACCCCAACAGCAACTGCTCCTGAAAACTAAAAATGCTTCTGCGAGTAGGAGCTTGACCACACCAATTCAGACTGCTTCTATTGTTCCAGCCTTTAAAAAAAAACAAGGCTTCACAAGTTGTTTATCTTTTCACAGACAGCTTGACATCTGTACCCAACCCCTCTCTGTAAAAGAAAACAGGACGAAACACACGTCTTAAAGTCACAGCATCGTCACACTGGATATACAATGTGACCAGATACGGACCCAGGAAAATCTCACCTCATCTGCAAAATATGCATGAGCTATACCATGGAACATACTAATTACAAGACATTTAGAAATAAGAATAGTTGAAAATGATTTAATCTAGTGTCACATGTTTTATCTGGGACTAGTTTAAGCTGAATAGTGACAACTACGTAGTTGGTTCAAACACCTGCTTACAGATTATCTCAGCTTGCAAAACACATTATTTGCATTTAATCTGCATGTGATCTTCAGAAGTCCCTGCTACCAACTACTCTGGCCAAAATCAAAGGCAAGTCTATACTGATCCCACATCTATACTGCTCTTTAAAATACACACCAAGCATCAAATTAATATTCTGCTTCCTCATCAATTCTTGCACTTGTTCTTATCTTTTATTGTCAGGCTGTCTTTGCCAGACAGGCCGCCAGAAAATCTTGGATGCCTGAAAGCAGAAAAGCACAGTAAAAGGATTCTAATCCTAACTCTAAGAGGGTGACAGAACCGAAGGTAGTTGGAAAATGATGACTGCCGAGGCAATAATTTGAAATGTTCTCTCTTGAGAGTTCAGGAGTTGCAGTTATGTCAGTCCTACGTCAGGCCTCAGAACATTGTAACTGTGATAATAAGGGACGTCTAGCCCATTGGCCTCAATCCACCATTCAATGGGACCATTGCTGATCTGCAATCTAACTCCATGTACCTGATTTTGCCCCATATCTTTTAATAGTTCTGGATATCAAAAAAGACCAACCAATCTTGAATTTAAACTGTAAAATACATGATCATAATTAATTGCCATTTTCAGGAATAGACTTTCCAATTTCGACATATAATGGACGGTGGGAAGGGTTCATAACTTTCTTCCAGAAGGACAGGTTCAATTTTTTTAAAACTTATACCCCTATTCTTAGACATTAAAATCAACAGAAATAGTTTCTAATATGTAACTAAAACTGCTCAAAACATATTGCTCACACTAGTTCCTTTTATTGAAAGGTGATAACCAAAAGCATTAAGTTTCTCTCTCTTCAGAGATGATGTGTGAACTGCATTTTTTTTAAAATCACGTTTCATGAAAATGCATACAATTCTGATGAAAGGTCATTGATATGAAACAGTGAATCTGCTCCTATCTCCACAAAACCTGATGTGTACTTCCAACATTTTCTGTCTTTATTTCAGATTTTCAGCACGCTCCGCATTTTATTTTTTCAAAACCAGGATCAACTAACTCAGCCCAGATGATATAATGAATTTCAGCACCTTAGCTGACAGATGATGAAAGATGCCAAGGGCCTGCTATTAAATAGTAACTCTTTTGTAATTTCCAAATTTGGAAGATAGGATCAGGAAGCATGAACATGAAACTTGTTGCTATCGTGGCTTAACAATCTGTCACGGCACAAACAGCGATCATTTAGTGAGGTACTAGAAGATGTCCAATGTTCAATATTGTTAGTCCTTCAGCAGAAGGAAGAAAGATTGCAAAAAACAAAATCTGAGCAAAGTTTCTACTTTTTGTGTCAGTACAACCTATGCAGTGCTAAACGGCAGTTTACAATTACTTATTCTAAACACAGATAAGGCAGAAAGCATTTTACAATCAGTATAAGAGGTACCCATATAGATTAATGAAGAAATCAGAAAGTAGATAGATATGGGGGGATTGGAGTATTATTTTAACCAGCTGTGCTTCGAAGAAATTTACTGCTCAATTTAATTGATCAGAGACCAAAAATCTGACAAACTAAGGTCACTTAAATTTCAATCACAATGCAACGGGTTTGAGGTCACACACAGGCATTTCCTTTTCCAAAGCACATGAGTGAACCAGATGAGTTTACACAACAGTGATTAGCTTTCAATTCCAGATTTTATTAATTATATTTAAATTCCACCAACTTCCCCAGGGAATTAGTCTGAGGTTCTGGTTATCAGGGTGCCATCATCACCCCTAATGACACCATTAATACATCCTACATCCTTTCTAATTATTTTCTAAAGAAGTCACAGTATGACATTTACTGCTGTTTTCAATCAAGAAACTAAGAATTTTGCTATATTCTACAAGCCGTTATTACAACTTATGATGCAAGCAAGAAAAACTGCTTCATCATAATTTTGGCATCAGTAGAACTGAAAACTTCCTGCATTTGATGTGTGCTCACTTTTCCTATTTAGTCATTTGTGTGCATTCATAATCCTGGTTGGGCTAATGTTTCCCTTTTCTTTAAATTGCATGAATTGTACTTTTAAATGTTGGATCTGCCATATATCGAGTCAGAATCTTGAACTTCTCAAATGATATATTCAAATCTCACACACTCTTTGGCCCGAAAGTTTCTTGCTTCCATGACCATAACATCTCCCGCCACGAGTCTCACTGCAGCCCATGAGTTGCAGACACCCTCAAACAAGGCTTTGAAACCTTCAAGTCTGGAGATAACAATGTTCTCCTGGCTAGTCTCTAAAACATTAAGCAGTTGTAAAATTCTGCTCCGAATTCCAACTTGCACCAATTCTCACCCTTTTCTTTACCATCTGCATTGGCTTCAGTTTCGACCCTGTAACAAGTTTCACTTCAAAATTCTCAGCTTCATCATTTAGTTCTTTTGCACACTTGCTCTTTCCCATCTGTAAATCCTTTTCTAGCCCAACAATTTCCACCCCAGAGTTCTCAAGCCTCTGGTTTCTCAAGCATTTCACACACCCACTCCCAGCTGCCCCACTTACCTGGGCCTCATCCTTTCTATTTACCTCCACTTGGCTCTCTCTCTCTCTCATACTATAAAAAAACTTCTTTGCATTCATCTCTTTGATCAGGTTTGATCACCCATTCCAATATTTCGTTTTTTGGTTTGGCATTCCTTTTATTTTTCATTCCACTATGAAGCAGCTCCAGGTTTCTGAATACACTAAAGGTGCTAATTAAATGTAAAATACTTTATTAAAGTTTGCACCAAGTTTTGATGTTTAAATCCACATAATAATTACCATAATAATGGAGATTTCAGTGTTTGGAATATCTGATTTTATAATTAATTTATTTTAGAAACATAAATTTTAGCTTGGAGATTGAAAGATTTAAATGCAAGTTAAATAGAACACTTTAGCTGGCAAGTTCATCAAACGGGTTTGGGTAATTCCAGTTCAAAAGGGAATTCTTACTGTGCTGCTGAAACTGAGGCGAGAGTTTTCAGTCAGATTTAGGATTGAAGTGGATACTTTGGATCTCTGGAGAAGTCATTTTGTTTTGAAGCTGGGGTGTAAATTGTGGAAGATTTAAAATATCTAGTTTCCCTAGATCAAATAATCTTTGAAAGCAATTTATAAATGGGCATTGTTTGATGGAGACAGTGAGTCTGGTAAGATGGCAGTCACCTCTATCACTGATGTAATTTATGCACGTCAGTCCCAAAAATCAAAGGGATACTTTGAAGGTAAAATTTAATTTTATGTCTGGAACATGCCATACACGCTATGTTCCTATATGTTATGTAGGAAGGTAATCTTTTGTTTTGGGTGTGATTTCACACAGGATTCGTTGAAATCATGGGTCAAAATAACTTGCTTGAGATTTCTTGAGGGCTGCTTTTTAATTTTCAGGGTTACTTTTTCATTCTCACTAACTCATTTATTAGATGAGGCAGTCACATTGTAACAGCAATTGTGTTGCAATGTGGAGCATTTGAACTCACTGAAACAGAATTGTAGGAATTCATCAATATCTCCAATAATCAACTCACCTTTACACTTAAAGCGACATTTCATACAGAAAGTGTTAATTTCCTAGATACCACAGTATTTTAATCGGTACAGGACAAAAGGTATAAATTAACAACAAAATGATCAACACATTTCCAGAAACAAAAGCTATCACCCTACACATATCTTCCACAAACTAGCAATGTCACACCTAATGCCATTCTACTATATATGCAAAAAGCTGGAAAATTTTAACCAGTTACCATCCTTTTTACTGCATCTCAGTTTTCATTTGCAAGGAATCGTTTCCCTCAGCGATTTGAAGTTTTCTTGAAAGATAATTAATTCAGCATTACATTGCTGACAGTTTTGAAACTGCTTTCTATCTACTGTAGCCATCCTTGCTCTTCACACCTTCTTCCAGCCCACTTCTTCACCTACTCCCACATTACAGCCTCCATCTCTATCTACAGTCTATTTTGCTCCCAACACTCCTCTTTACAGCCTTCTTCTCCAATCCAACATGTGGCCACACATAGTGTCCACACACACTTTGGATCCAGCTAAAGGCGGCCTTGATCCCACCTGCAGGAGAAGATGAACCCTGAACCTGGCCTTGGCTAAATGCAACCCCCAATTGCGGTTGCAGCCATAAAAAGTCCTGATTCTGGCCTCGGCTAAAGGTAGCTCGCTAACCTCTGCCTAAGCAGAAGGTGGTGCCACATATTTGGGCCGCAGCTAAAGGTAGATCCCCTCATGCCAGCCTTGGCTAAAGGAGGCTTCCTCTATCCCAGCCTCATGTAAAAGTGGCCTCCCCCATCCTGGTCTTGTCTAAAGACACATCCCTGATCCCAACTGCAGCTAAAAGTAGCCCTGACTAAACATACCTGGCCAAAAGTAATTTTGATCATGGCCAAAAGTGTCATCGATCCTGGCCTCAGCTCAGGTCAAGATCCTGGACTGCACTCATAGCAGGCAGGCCCTGAGATTCAGTGATGGGTTTCCAAACTGCCCTTTACTCCTCTATAATATTTGCTGCCGGAAGATTCACTAGACACTAGCAGGAGAATTCCTGAGATTAGAAGAGTGGTTCCTTACCATTTTCTTCCATTCTATTCTCTCTGATTTCTTGGCCTTACAAGTGGATATTTTCAGTCAGCAATTTGGGGATGTTTGAATGTTAGCATGCCTGCTGCCCTATATATTTGGAGGTTTGGTTGGAATTCTGGAAATAGCAAGATATAGCTTGGAGATGGCCCAGAAGAGAACTGGCAAAGAGATGTAGAGCAGTTGAAACCATGTCAGATAGTTATCAGAAACCAAGGGAAGTATGATTTAAAGACCACTCATCAAGAATGTGAGCGAGACCTAACCTTGATCTGGGCAATTCCAAAAATTTGAGCTGTTGAAAGACCCCAAGAGATCTGCCAACTGAGTGAATAGCTGAAATATCAAGGAGAAATCAAAGTGAATTGTAAAATGCTGTGGCAAACTTTGGTGACTGAACCTTCAAGACCCTGTCATGAATAGCGGAACTATAACATGGAGCTAAAAGCAGAAAGGGGTTAAAATGTCAGTGTTTGTTGAGATTTTCCAATCTGAAGCAGATATACCTATGTTGTTAGTAATTCAGTTTTGTTTAACTCTCGTACAGTGAAGTAATTTCTGTTTGAAACATGAAATCTTGTGTAGTTCTTTCAGTTAATATAGGAAGTGTGAATTTCTCCTTAAACATTGTTAGTCTCTGTGAAGATTATCATACTAGGAAATTTGCAAATGATTATTTTCCACAATCAGTTTTGAATCTAGTGAACAGAACTTTTTTGATACCTTTTTCCAACAATACTCAGTCCAAGACCTTTCCCTGGTTTCTTGTGCAATTCAACAATCAGCAAATCATACATATCTTCCTCCTTATAATGACCTTCATCCCTGTAGACTGTCAGCCGTACTTTTTGTGGAGTTTGTCTCAGAACATTTATTGCTTCATCATGAGTGGCAACTCTCAAATCAATTCCATTAACCTACAGAAACATAATAGAATGTGAAATAGAGATATCCTTATCATATTAAAAGAAAGACCTGAAATGTCTGCTAATGGCACAATTGTGAAAACGTGCTGAATTTGCCAAGGTGAAATTATGGCCATGTTTCTTCATATATAAAATCTCCCAGGTGGGAAAATTTCTTCATGTCTACCCTATCTATGCCTCTCAAAATATAGCAATAATCATATAGTATAATATTAAAAAATCAGGTGTTAGAATTTGGTCAGACTAGGGTCTGACCAATGATCATCATCAGGACCTGATCTAAATTGCAACCTGGGGCTGGGATGGGGATGTGAGACAAAACACAGGCAGTGTCAGCTTCTTTGTAAGGCTTTACATGTGAGGAACCAGATTCTGGATCAGACATTAAGTTTGATATTTGTTATTTAGCTTTTCTTGAGAGCATGGAGAGTAAATAGAATTCTTCACTGCCTCAGAAGGAAGACTTGGCTATTTTTTTGTGCAACAGTTTAACCTGCAACTCCTAATCTCTGACATGTCAGCTCTGCAGCCTCCTGATTAAACTGGCAATCATGATGCCCCACCCTTCTCCACTCCCGAATGTAACACTGACCACTCAGTCTCACTCCCCTGTCATCAATGCCCCCTGCTCTCCCGAACATGGCTCAACCTCTCACTTCCCCACTGGTAGTTTCTCCAGCTCGCAGCCCCAATCTCGCAACTTCTTGTTTCCAGCCCCAAGCTTCTCTCACAACCAACTGTTGGGAACAGTCACCATGACTGTGACCTCCAACCGCAGTTCACACTTAATTCGACCGGTGGTCAGGTAGGACATTGCAACATGTAACTTAAATCATAGAATCATAGAATCTGTACAGTATGGAAACAGGCCTTTTGGCCCACCAAGTCCACACCGACCCTTGGAGCATCCCCGAATACTACGGGCAATTTGATATGGCCAAATGCGAGCGACTTTCTTTAAGATGGGCAGGAAACCATGTACCTGGTCCTGGTAGGTCTTACAGATACAACCTTGCTTCCTAGCACTCTCTTTGCTTATCCATCAATATCAGGCCCATAGTATGAATATTGTACTAGAATACATTTATAGCACCTCAAGCCCAGTGGATTAAATGATGGATTTGAACTCAGGGTATGTTTGGCATAGTAAAGGACCACTCAAAGTGCTATGTGTGTGGAAATTTAACTCCCATGTGTCACTTAAATAATGCCTCTTGTCCCTAACTGACAAACGCCAGGTCAGTGCGCAAGAGGTGGGTTAGACATTCAAGGTTCCAAGGGAAGAGTCCTCTTCTTCGTTTAATGTTGAGAAAGGGAGTTCATTGGATTTGCAAATGCTGGGAGGGGGAGGGAAGACTGAAGGTCACGTGGGCCATTAACCAATGAAGAAACAGGGTTTGGGGATTAGCAAGTTAGTTAGAGACTGGAATTGACTTCATCACTAACTGAAATATCATGATAAGCAATCTGGAGTTTGAATTCTTATCTCTCGTTAGCATAATTCATACGCTATATTCCCCCATAGTTTCTTTGAGTATGATACAGCAGCAGCAGGAGGCGGCTGTGGAGTCCTCAGAAGAATGCAAGCATGCCGAGACTGCACTGTTACATGACTCATGCAGACCTTCCACAAGCTCAGATACACACATATCGGGGATACAGCAATTTAGACAACTCAGTTGTCACATGGTAACCCCCTTGGAGAGAAATTGGAGGTGTCCAACTCTGGTAAGAATGTCTTGATATCTCTGGCATTAAACGCTGATAAACACCTCCAAGAAACAATTAGATATGGTGGGTAACTGAGTGTATGTTGGCTTATTCTAGTTTTTCCACAGGGCAGAATGAAAAGTAACCATGTGCTCGCTAAGTATTGCTATCAGAAAAATGCAAGGAATTTCATACACATAAAAATACTGGCATGACAGGGTAGTTAAAGAGCACATGGAAGTTGGGACTTTGCTTGCAGTGCTCCCAGTTCTCATCCCTTTCTTCTCCACTCTTCTCTACAGGCTCCCTCCTGCCCTTTGGCCATGTCTGCTCCTGCAGATGTGAGACTCTTTGAGGTGACCCTCACAGTTTCCAAAACACAACAGGCATTTATCACCCGTGTCTCATCAGTCAGTAATAGGGAATTATTAGCTTTGCCGAATCTCTGGTAAAGCCAACAGGGCTGTACCATTTGGGAATAATAAAACACAGATGAAAAAAACCTACTACTTGCACGCAGGGATTTACTTGGGTGCGAATAATAAATAAACATGCATAATGCCATGACTATTAAATAAATCAAGCAAGTTATTTGAACACTTGGTTCTTCACATAAAATGAGCTGGTATAAGCTGGAATACACTGTCTGAAAGGGTATTGACGACAAATTCAACAGTAACTTTCAAAGAGGATGAAGGGCAAAAAGTGAAACAAGTTAGCTTTCAGGCAGGATGGGTCAACTAATCTCCATATATACTATTGGTCTGTCTAGAGACGCAGTGTACTAAATTCTACTACAAGGAATGTTCCTAACAGACAACTTCCAGAGATGGTGAGACTGTTATGAGGACAGACTGTGGAGGCTGAGCCTGTCATCCGTCTGGAATTCATGGCCTGAAAGGACAGATGCAGAGGGATGCTCCTTCTGGCTGGAAGAGTCTAGAACCAGGTAATTTAGTCTCAGTAATAAGGACTGGCCATTTAGGACTAGGATGATGGTAATGAATCTTTGAAATTCTCTATCCCAGAGGGCTGTAGATTTTCAGTCATTAAGTACATTCAAAACAAAGACTGGCAGATTTCTAGTTACTAGTGACATCAAGGGATAGTGCAGGAAATATGGGATATTAAAGGAGGTGGCAGCAGATAATGGATGCATTAGTTATGATTTTCCAAAACTCCGCAGATTCTGGAAAGGTATCAATGGATTGAAAATATGCTAATATGACACCCTTATTCAAAAACGGAGATAGGCAAAAAGTGGTAAACTGTAGACCAGTTAGTTTAACCTCTGTCATGGGGAAGTTGCTGGAGTCAATCATAAAGGAGGAGATAACTTAAACACATGTAAAAACAAAGCTCAGTTCACCAGTATCGGCACGGTTTCATAAAGGATACGTCGTGCTTGACAAAGTTGGACTTCTTTGAAGATGAAACCAACAAGGTAGGGAATGCAGATTCAGTGGATGTGGTATATCTAGACTTCCAGAAAGCATTTGACAAGATGATGCATAAAAGACTGATCCATAAAGTTAGATCCCAGGGGTTAAATGTAGATAGAGAATTGGCTGCCTGACAGAAAGCAGGTCGGGATAAATGGGTCCTTCACTCGATGGCAAACTGTAACTAGTGAGGTGCCACAGGGTTCAGTTCTTGGACCTCAACTATTTAAAATCTATATAAATGATCTGCAAGCAGGGACTGAGTGTAACATAGCAAAGTCCACAGATGATGCTAAAATACGTGGGAAAGCAAGCAGTGATGACAAGATTTGATAGGCAAAGAGAATGGGTCAGAATCTGGAGGTTAATGCGGGTAAGTGCAAAGTTGTCCAAAAGAAAAATAAAACGACAAATTATTATTAAAATGGGAAGCAAATTCAAAAAGTGTGTCAGTGCAGAGGGATTTGAGTATCCTTGTGCACGAATTGTGGTAAATGCGTACGCAGGTGCAGCATAAAAGAAGAAAGGCAAATGGAATCCTGGCATTTGTTTCAGAGGACTGGATTGTAAAAGTAGTGTTGTTACAATTGTATAAAATGAAATAGTACTCAACATAAAATGAACAACTTAGACAGGTTGGTGAGATCACATCAGAAATACTGTGTCCAGTTTTGGTCTCCTTATTTGAACGAGGATGTGGTGGTACCCGTGGCAGTTCAGAGGAGGTTCACAAGGTTGATTCCAGGGATGAAAAGGTTATCATATGAGATATGGTTGAATAGCTCAGACTTGTGCTCACTGATTTCAGAAGAATGAGGTATATGAAATGTAAAAGAGGATGGATAAGGTGGATGTTGAATAAATGTTCCCCATTGTGGGATAATCTTGAACAAGAGGGTATAAATAGAGTGAGAGGAACTAAGTTCAAAACTGCTTCTCTCAGAGGGTTGTGAATCTGTGGAACTCACTGCCACAGAGTGCAATGGCGGCAGAACCAGGTTCAAAAAAGAAACAGAAACGTTTCTGATAAAAAGCAGGAAAAAGGGCTATGGGGAGCAGGCAGGAACATGGAGTTGAGACCAGGATAAGATTAGCCATGATCACATTAAATGGTGGTGGGGGCCCGAGGGGCTGAATTGTCCAGTCCTGCTTCTAGTTCCTATGTTCCTATGAAAATGTCATCGAGGTAGATGATGGATCATGATTTAGATGATGGAATAGGTTCGAGGGGCTGAATTACCCACTCCTGTATTTCATTCAAATATTTTTGATTCTGTTGGTTAATATTTAGTCTTTCTTGTGAATTTGAAGCTTTGACGGAATTTATGCTCAATTTAAAAATCCAATGAAAAACACTGCAATGCAACTGTTTGGTTTTCTCAGCCACAATCTAACATGAGTAAATTAGATTTCAAAACCATCCTCTTTTACCTCCAATATCTGATCACCAGCCCACAGTCTGCCATCTTTGGCTGCAGCTCCTTCTTCATAGACTTCGTGAATAATTATGGCACCCTGCAAAAACAATTCAGATGAAACAGTACTTGACGTAAATTGGACAACTTAGATATGTTTGATACGCTGTTGCCAAAACCTCCAATTTGTTTCTGAAACCTGTTAATATGAACACATTTGCTCCCAATTGCAGATCAGCAGCACAAGTGTTAAAAAAAATAAACAGCATGCAGACATTTTTAAAGAAAGAAAATAGGTGCTGTTAGTTGAAAGGTATCAGCTATTACACTACCCATGAATCTGCTATAACTCAGTATTAAATATTACAAAGTTTTAAGGAAATTCGGAGTTGTCATTATAAACATCTGTCTCCTGAGTTCATCCAGTAACTACAATAATCTCTTCAGTTTCACCAAGTTGATTTACTTTGCTCAACATTAACATTAACTCTGTTTTATCCTTCACAGATGCTGCCAGACCTGCTGAAATTTTCCAGCAACTTTGTTTTTGTTTCTGATTTACAGCATTCACAGTTCTTTTGGTTTTTATTAATTAATTATAAATTCTAAAGGATTACTTAATTTGAACATGAGCATTACGTAGCCTTGTTTTCAATCTACAGGCAGCTCCCTCACAATGATAGTGTTTCACCAATCTTCTCTCCAGTCTTTAATACTTTGAGATGAATTCCATCTGGCACTGGAATAATTGGTATTGAGCCTTCTAGCCTGGTTAAGGCCTTCAACATGTTTATGTAAGTAGTTATGTTTACACAGATAATTTCTATCTGCTGACGGCACGTCTTGCTTGTCTTTCCTTGTGAATACATTGAGAAAAGAATAATTCAGAATTCTTACTGCCTTGTGCTCAATCTTTGTTTTACATGATTTATGGGTCTCATTTTCTCTGACTGTTCACAATGTCTTAACAAACATCTTTTCAATTTAAGTGCAGGATTGATATGTCACACTGTGTTCCAAACAGTGATTTATATATTTCAGAAGCACCAGGAGGCAGAATCTCAACCACAATTTCAGAATAATAGATATCCATGGACATTGTTATTAACTTATTTTAACCCTCAAAAACATGTGTTTTGGGATCAGCTGAGATGCTGAAACTTGAAAAATTGTAAACCTGGTCCCAATTCACCCATTTCCAATTTCAATGGAAAATGGAAAGGTACTGGCACTGAATCCATTCCCAGGATGCAGATCATCAATTTAAAAATAACAATGTGGTCACTAGCCTCAAATTTTACCTACTTTGCAGGATTAACTCTGGGCACATGGGTTTCCCAAGATCCTGGCTAACACAGCAGCAAAACTGAGACAGGACCAGCTTCACGGTAAAGCTAAAGACCTCTACAATACAGCTTGCATTTTAGGAGCTGCTGCGTAGCCTGGACAACAAGCACGCTACTTGCCTTGGTTTATACTCCTTCACTTAAATACCACCAAGCATATGGAATTGGATCCTCATAATGGCTGGTGTTAGGAATTGTGTTTTCCCATAAGTTGGATCAGGAACTGAACCCTCTCAGGATCAAACATCAAACTTCATGGATCAAAGCTTCCTATCCAGGGTTGAGCCTGTTCCAGAGTGGGTTCCATCCGACTGGCAGTCAATCCTAACATTCACGCTGATAACTTCGGGTAGGAATGCTTGTGGAAAGAATTGCACACTGTGGAGTTAAAACTCCATAACATGAAGTGAAACCATTTTTTATCCAAAGCTCAGATATCCTGCCTATGCTATCGGCTCCCATGAAAATTGGGTCAGATTTTCTTGTTTCCTGTGCTTTGATATAAAGAATCACCTGAACACACATATGCAGTGAAACCGGCAGAGAGGATCCTGTACATTTCACAGAAACTATCCAATTTTCCATCTATTTACGCTAACAGATAAAATCGGGTAAGCTCTGTTAAATGCATGCAATCCTCCATGACCTAGCTTCTTCTATGGACTGTATCCGGGTGACTTTTCACACACAAGCAAAACAGAAGTAATATTTATCCAAGGGGATTTCAACCTCCTGAAGCCTCTATTTTTCTGCGTTTCTTCTGAAAGATTCCATCACAATGTGGATGAGCTGTGTAATTCCAACATAATATACAAATACAAAAGAAATTGGGCGACACGGTGGCACAGTGGTTAGCACTGCTGCCTCACAGCGCCAGGGACCTGGGTTCGATTCCAGCCTCGGGCGACTGTCTGTGTGGAGTTTGCACATTCTCCCCCTGTCTGCGTGGGTTTTCTCCGGGTGCTCCGGTTTCCTCCCACAGTCCAAAGATGTGCAGGTTAGGTGGATTGGCCATGCTAAATTGCCCGTAGTGTTGAGGGAGGTGGTGGGTCATAGGGGGATGGATCTGGGTGGGATGCTCTGAGGTTCAGTGTGGACTTGTTGGGCCAAAGGGCCTGTTTCCACACTGTAGGGATTCTAATTCTAATTCAAATTCTGCTGGAACACTTTCTTCGGTGGGGGGGGAGCGGCGGGTCAGATTAATTACAATAGTTAATGTGCTTTCTTCCCAAATGAGCATACATTACCAATCAATACTTACCATAGATTTAGCAAATAATATACTTAATGTCAGTGGACCTGTTTCACACAGAGTACGATAAGAAATGTTTTGAAAACTGTGGATGCTGGAACTTAGAGGATTAAACCCATCAAATATACTCACCAATAACGTATCTGCTCCTCCAACAATACTCAGCCCAAGTCCAGTGCGTCCTTTTGAAATTTCGATCGTTGTTTCTCGTCCAGGGACAATTGGACAAGATGATATGTCGAAAGATGAAGAACCGGGGGATGAAGCTCTGCTCGAGCCTTTAATCATAATGAAAACAAATTCTGTTCTCATTGTGTGAAATGAGCAGAATACAAACTATGTGACACAAAAATGTGTTTATTAATAAATACCTGTCAATTTCAGAAGTGGTAAAATAATCTCTTCTGTAAGGCATGAAAAACCTATTTAGCATCTTACTCACAATGCATCAAAGACAACTGATGCATCAGACCTAAACCACTGACATTTAGTGGAACTTTCACCTTGGACATAATGATCAGTCACTGTACTCTAATCCCTGGCATTTATAGATAGAACATACCGAGGTCTGATACATTGCCAAACAGTAAGCATTCTCAAAGGTAAAGTCTGGTACAAAAACTGAAATTTCTCTCAATCAATGGTTTTCCTCAAACCAACTTATAGATTTTTTTTTATTTTGGTTTGCATCTCCTTTCCACAGGTTTCTTTTACAGTTTTAACTTAAGCAATATTTTGTTAGGTCTGAATTATTTTAAGATAGTATTTTTATACATGTCCTCTTCTGTGGATGTGAATGAGGACATGGGGTTGGTTCACCACAGAGGTACAGCTATTCTAGCATCTACAATGATAGAACAAGTAGTCTAGTTATTTTGCTCTGTATTAAGAGAAAACATTTCTTGTACATCCTGCAACCTAGCAGTCTGTAAAAGAAAGAAATACAACTGTCGACAAAATACACCAAGACCAGCAAAAGGAGATAAGAAATAGAAGGGAAAAATAATACAATATGAATTGACTACTCTTGTGCCCAATGTGACATATACAAAGTGCTGTTTTTGGCAAATGTGGGCACCTCTCATTTTGACACAAAAATCATAATCAGCCAGAGCAGATGCTTCTGTCTCATTCCTTAGTAATATGTTTAAGGGGATATTTCAGATTATATAGATCACAATTAAAATTACAGTTGAATGGTGAGAAAAATTTCAAGGGAAGAATCCACTAGCCATGATTAACTAGAAATGTTAAAGACAATATCAAACTTAAAGAAAAAAATGCTATCTGTCTTTGCACAATTACAAGTCAGAAGATTAGATGGATGACAAACAGCAAAGAAGAAAAATTAACAATTTGAGAGAAAGCTAGCCAGAAATATAAAAACATTAGTACGAATTTCTATATAGAAAGAAGGAAGCAGTTAGTGAGCATTGGTACAATAGAAACCGAGACTGGAGAAAGGTGGCACAGTGGTTAGCACTACAGCCTCACAGCATCAGGGACCCAGTTTGTTTCCGGCCTTGGGCGACTGTCTGTGTAGAGTTTACATGTTCTCCCAGTGTCTGAATGGGTTTCCTCTGGGTACTCTGGTTTCCCCCCACAGTCCAAACATGTGCAGGTTAGATGGATTGGCCATGCTAAATTATCCACTAGTGTCTAGGGATGTGTAGGCTAGGTGAATCAGCCATGTTGGTTTACACAGATAAGGTGGGTCTGGGTGTATGCACTCTGGAGGGACAGTGCAGACTCGATGGGCTGATTTGGCCTTTGTCTGCACTGTAGGCACTCTAGGATTCTGTAATTAGCAATGGAAAATGGCAAATGAATAAAGTAGGTATTGATGTGTTAATTTTAATTTTCCAAAACTCCCTCGTTCAAGGACAGGGGACGGGGGTTGTGTATGTCTTATAAGGCAAGTCCAAACTAATAGCTATTCAACCATGACACTCGTTGATAGACTTCTGTATTTCTTGCAGAAGGTATGCCACAAAACCATCCAAAGCTCACTGAATTGCAGAAAGAGCCAGAAATGTAACAAACGTGTCAATTTTCAGTATCTTTTGAATGTTACTGGTGGATGGCCCTTGCAACAGGCATTACCGAGCCTATTTCATCGCATCCTCCATGTTACATGGCACAACAACATATTTTAAGACATGACTTTCAGTAAAACAGGGAACTTATGAATGTAACAATTCTATAATGTAATACATAAAATTGATTTTAGAAGTGTGACAAGGCTATTGTGCAATGATAAGTTTTAGACATTACATCATTCAGATCTTTTGCTATTACTTCAGGTCATCCAAATTCTCAAATCCATTGAAATCTTCTATTTTCAATTTGTACTCATTCTGTGGACTAGTGTTCTGTATGGAACTCAAATATTTCATTAGAACTTCAGTCTGCATAAATGAAAATCTGAGTTGGAACTGCTGACAAAATGTCTTTTCAGGCTGTTAATTTCCAACTGAAAAACAACAACTGGTATTTGTAGAATCCCTTAAACATAAATGTACCAATGTGCTCCCTAGGAATGTTATCAGACAATATATTTTATACTGAACCTCATGAGACCTTAAGGAAGGTACCCAAAGGTTCACTCAAAGAGGTAGGTTTTCAAGTCATAAGCAAGAGGAAAATATAGAGCGAGTAAATATACTTTGTGTTCTGAGTGTATGTATTTTAATATTGCTTACCCTTATTGTCGGAATCTGTATCAGCCGATTCAGCAATGTTCTGTATTGAAGGAGACTGAATGCTTTTAGACTCGAATGAAGCAGTGGAAACAGATGGTGTCTGTATATTCACTTCATCCAAACTGATGGTTAGTTTTACAGTATTCTTTGCTTTCTTCAGCAAACTTACAACCTAGGAAAATCCCAGCAATTTATGAGTGCTCACGTTATTAATATAAATTAATTGCTTTGCATTGAAAATGACATGACACTTGTTTATAAAAAGAACCAATTTATTTCATAGCAATCAACTTTGGATTATCATGCAACAAGCTTAAAACAACTATATTACAAATAAGTAATTCCTCAATGTTGCTGGCATTACATGCTAGCTGCGTTGCTGTCACCCATTATTGTATCTACTGGAAGAAAAATTAATTAGCTCAATGCAGATTGCAGTCACGAGATAGGGCAGACATAAGGAATACAGTGACTTCCAAAGTGTACTTTGATCTTGGGCTTAAAATTGTGGTTATAGTTTTCTTTGAAATAAAATTCACACCATAAGTTGAGCTAATATATTTATATTATGAAACACAACTCCTCTCTGACCAGTGTGTTAAGAACAATAGGAGAAAAAAAAACTCATCTCGACATGCAGCAATAAATGTAACAGCACAGGAAAATTAGATTAGAGGCACCAATAGGTAACAATGACTATATGAAGTTTAGCATGATCTTGAACAAATTACGCACTGACACTCAGATATAATACTAAAGTTGAAAATAAACAGATTCAAAAGGATGAGGTGAAATGATTTAACTCTCAAATGAATCTTAACCGAGAGAAAAATGCACTGACGGAGGAACTTTTTTTTTTTAAGCAGAAGCTCCTCTGTGACAGAAAATTTATTTTATCAAATATTAATCAAGAACAGCAAAATGCATACAAAATTAACTGGTGCCTAAGCAAGACCTTATTTGAACAAATATTCATACAGTCATAGAATCATACAGCACTGAAGCAGATCCTTCAGTACTACTTATCCATGCCGACCAAGTTTCCCCTCCCAAACTAAACTAGCCCCATTTGCCTCTGGCCCATATCCCTCTAAACCTTTACTATTCATGTACCTGTCCAAATGTCTTTTAAATGCTGTAGCTGTAATGCATTTACCATTTCCTCTGTCAGTTCATTCCATATACACACCACGTTAGCCCTCAGGTCCTATTAAATCTTTCCCCTCACCTTAAAACTATATCCTCTAGCTTTGAACTCCCTTACCCTAGGAAAGGGAGCTTGGCTGGTCACCTCATCCATGCCCCCTCATGATTTTATAAACCTCTATCTTACCCCTCAACCTCTTACGCCCGAGGGAAAAATGTCTCAACCTATCCAGCCTCTTCTTATAACTCAAACCCTGTAGTCCCAGTAACATTCTTGTAAATCTTTTCTGCACTCTTTCCAATTTGATAACATCCTTCCTATAGCAGGCAACCAGAACTCCAAAAATGGCCTCATTAATGTCCCAACTTCTACAATCAATGCTCTGACCAATGAAGACAAGCGTGCCAAATGCCTTCTTCACTGATGCCACTTTCAGGAACTATGTAACTGAGGTATTAGGTGTCTGTTCGACAACACTGCCCAGGGCCCTACCGTTAACTGTGCAAGTCCTGCCCTGGTTTCTCTTGCCAAAATGCAACACCTCACATTTAGCTAAAATAAACTCCATCTACCACGTCTCGGCCCAATGGCCCAGCTGATAAAGATACTATTGAAGTCTTAGATGACCTTCTTCACTGTGCACTATACCACCAATTTGGGTGTCATCCACAAATTTACTAACCGTGCTTCCTACATTCTTATCCAAATCATTTATATGAATGACAAACAACAGTGGACCCAGCACTGGTCCTTACGGAACACTGCTAGTCATAGGCCTCCAGTCTGAAAAAACAACACTCTACCACCATCCTCGGTCTCCGATCATCAAACCAATTTTGTATCCAATGTGCTATCTCTCCCTGGATCCCATGTGATCTAACTTTAATAACCAGTCTACCATGTGGAACCTTGACGAAGGCCTTGCTAAAGTCCATGCAGACAATGTCTAATGCTCTGCCTTCGGCTAATTTCTTGGTTACAGGGGGTTCTGCTATAACATGATAGTTGCATTCCTGTGTAAAATCATGTTATAGAAAATTGTGCTATAGAAATAATGGGGCGTATGGGGTTAGGAGCAGACCACCAAAAAAACAAAATCACTCAAAAATCAGTCAAAAGCCTAACACAAAGGATAGCACAGTTTAAGTAAATGTTTAATTCATATCTATGAATGAAATAAAACTAAATTTAACACCTTATCTTGAAAAAGTATCATGATGACTTGTTGGGGAAGGAGGTTTTGAGGTTGCTCTGTTGTTAATGCAGGGGGCTGAAGGTCATCATCATCAGCACCACCTTCAGGTGCAGTTGTGGTTGCAGGGTTAGAGTGAAAAATAGTTAATCCAGAAGTGGATGGCTGTGGTTCATTGTCTTCTGACTGTTTCTTGGGGCTTGACTTAAAAAAGACATCCAGTTTTTGCTGCTTCGCCCTTTTTCTTCTTTCATGAAGAAGCTGTTCATAGGATGCCAAATAAGATCTTATTCCACGAACAGCTACCCTGCTCTGTTCTGCATTGTAGCCAGTTTCCTCTAAGAGCTGCAACTGCTTCTCAATTTCCCACAAGAAAGAAGACAAAACAGAAGTGGAAAGCTCTCGTGGTGCTGCATCCTGGACTTCTTCATCTTCATCTACAGTTTCCACTTCCCCCTCAGTGACAAATTGTTGTAGATCAGCTGTAGAGAGGTCTTCACAGCTCTTCAATATCCTTACTCTCCATTGTTCAAATACAACTTGCTTTGTAAGATCAACACAACATTCTTTGATTCTTGGGAATTCCTCTGACGGATCAAAGCCTTTAAAAGCTTGGAAAAAAAGTCTGGGAGAAGCTTCCGCCAAACTGCATGCAAGCAATCCTTGCTGAGCATCACCCCAGGCCTCCACAATAATGTCAACTGCATTCTTGATGTTAAAGCTCTTCCAAAATCGAAGAACACTGTCCTTATCCCCCTCAGTGGCTACAATCAGCGTCTTAAATGAGCACCTTAAAATAAGAAGCTTTAAAAGCTGCTATTGCACCCTGGTCCCTGGTTTGAAGGAGAGAGGTTGGAATCAATGGAATTGCGTTACAGCCAACACAAGTTCACGTTTTAGAAATAGCAATCCCCTATTTGTCAGTCACATTATAGCCAATTCGTGTTACCAAACAACATTGTTGCAGAACCCCCTGTATGTTCTCAAAAATCTCAAGTTTGTGAGATACAATTTCCAATGCACAAAATCATGCTCACCATCCCACATCAGTCCTTATCTCTCAAAATGCCTGTAAATCCTGTCTCAGAATCCCCTCCAGCAACTTACCCACCACTGACATCAGACTCACCATCTATAGTTTCTGGGCTTTTCCTTGCAACCTTTCTTACATAAAAGCACAATAAATGCCACTCTCCAGTATTCCAGCACCTCACCCTTGGCTGTCGATAATTCAAATATCTCTGCTTGGGGCCCCTGCAATTTCTTCCCTAACTTCCAACAACGTCCTGGAATCGCTTGATCAGGTACCAGGCACCTATTTACCTTTATGAATGTTAAGGGCCTCAGCACCTTCTCTTTTGTAATGTGGACTCTTTTCAAGACGTCACTATTTATTTCCCCGATTTTACAATAGGAGGGCAACTATTAATTAAGTGCAGTGTTGAGAGATGATGAGTTAATATGACAGACGAAATAGAATAATATACAGATACCTTTTCAACAGGGTGTCCCGCAACAGGTTCATCATCCACAGCCAAGATACGATCCCCAACCTTAATCCTTCCATCCTATGGAAATTGGAATCTATTAAATATTGATTCAGAGGACAACTTTCTTGTTTTACATACAGGGTTGCATAGGATGTGTAACACAGAAACAGGCTATTCAGCCCAACCATTTCAAAGTTCTTCTCAACTAAATCTAGCAATTGTCACTCTCTATTTTCATTTTTCTTCATACACTTAGCTAGCTTGTCCTCCAAGTGAATGTACCCTATTGGCTTCATGTGATAGTAAGTTTCACCTCTTTTGATGAAGAAGTTTCTTCCGACTTTCATGATGGATCCCTTGGTGACTATTTTATAATGATGGCTTCTAGTTATGCTCCTCTCTCAAAGAGACCACATTCTCTCCAGACCTATTCCAACATTGTTCCTTCTAAGCTGCATGATGCACAGCCACTCTGATGTTTCATATCCATGATCAGTACACCAATCTTGGCAATGGCTTCCAGTTTGGAAGTTGCTGCCACACATGGATATTGAAGACCCACACAGCCAGAATGAAAATTAGAGGGAATGCTGATCCACTGTCTCAAAATCTTTCATAATTTTGAAGATCTTTCTCAGGTTGCCCCTCAGCCTTTGATTTTCTTTTATATTATAGAATTATACAGCATGGAAATGGACCCTTCGGTCAAACCAGTCCATGCTGAACATAATCCCAAAGTAAGCTAGTCCCAACTGCCTGCTTCTGGCCCATATACCTCCAAACCTTTCCTTTTCACGTACTATTCCACTATCTTTTAAGCATTGTCATTGTACTCTCATACACCACTTCCTCAAGAAGTTCATTCCACACATGAACCATCCTCTGTGTAAAAAAATTTGCCCTGTATATCTTCTTAAAATCTCTCTCCCCTCACCTTAAAAATGTGCCCCCTTGTCTTGAAATCCCCGATGCTAGGGAAAAAACAACTACCACTAACCCTATCAGTACGTCTCATTATTTTATTAACTTCTATAAGGTCGCCTCTCAATCTCCTATGCTCCAGTGAAAAATGTTCTGGCCTATCCAGCCTTTCTTTATAACTCAAACTTTCCATACCCAACAACATCTTGGTAAATCTCTTCTGAACCCTCTCCAGCTTAATAACATCCTTCCTGTAACTGGCTGACCAGAATTGGACACAGCATTTCAGCAGAGGCCTCACCAATGTACGTAGTACTCTAGGTATAGTCTATTCAAAGTTCAATATGGCAGTTCTGATCAAGAGAGTCACCAGACTCAAAATGCTAACTTTATTTTCTCCCCACAGACGCTGCCAGAACTCTGCTGAATTTCTCCAGCAGTTTCTCAAGCTAACTAGCAATCCATTCTGATGCTCATCTTTTCATCTGTACACTCTTGTATATTACTCTACTATGGGGCATCTTAATCAAGGTCTTTTAAAAATCCAGTTAAATTATATCTACTGAAATCCCATCATCTACTTTTTCTGTTTCTACTTTTATTTCTAGTTGCTCTTTCATTTACTCCCTTTGCAGGGATTCCATTATTATTCCTACTACCAATGTTAAGATGACTGGTCTATAATTCCTTGGACAAGTTCTATTTTCCTTCTTAAACACAGGCATTTTCTTAGCTGTCAGCCAGTCCTCTGGTGTTACCCATTACTAATGAAAGTTCCTTTGCTATCTTTGACCTAGATTGTTTTAAAATGTATGAATGCGATCCAACTTGTCCAGCGGTCTTATCCTCTTTCAGTTTGTTATATTTAACACATTCCATTTATATTAAATGCGCTTATGTCATCATTCAGCTCAATGTCATATTTGTCTATTCTAGCTCAACAATCAATTATATTTATGTGGCTTCTTTAACATAATAAAATTTCACAAGGTTGTCACAGAAGTGATAGAAAACAAAGTTTGATACACATAAAGAATTATTATATGAGATGACCTCATTGCTGTTGAGACAATTTGGTCTCCCTGATACACATCAATGCAAAATAACAACTTAACATTTCTGCTATTGTGCTTATCCCTTAATGGTCACAATCTCACCCTACCCTTACATTATTTATTGGTGTGCATGCAAAATCTGTCACTGTTTTGCCTCACTTTCATTGATAATTTAATTTTGCAGTTCCTCATTTTTTAAAAATATTTCTTTCTTAATCTCTCTGCTACCTCTGCTATCCGTGTACTTACTTAATGCTTCTTTCCTTACCCTCAATTAATCTTCTGTCTTTATACATCTACAGAGTCTCGTCAGTATATACAACACATCACACACCTTCACTTAAAATTAAATTTAGTGCATAACTAAATATGTATGCAGTTATCTGTTCTCAGAGAATAGTAAGCGGACAATGTTTCAAATCAAATGTCCCACAATGATGAAACTGTGCTGAATGCTCATCATAAGCACACTTCCAGTCAGCACAATCTGAGAAGTTTGTCTATGTAATATTGCAATATATATGATGCATATGCACACACATCAGTAAGACAATAGATTGATTACTTTTAAGGACAACATAAATGTAATTTCAATTGGGTTAGGTAGTGCATCTTCAAGAGTCAATCCAGAGATTTGAGCACAAAACCTGAACAGTAAGGTTGGGGGGTGGTGGTGGGCGGGGGGAGGTGAGGTGGGGGGAAGAAGGGTCGCGTTGTGAATATTGAATCATCATCATCATGAAAGCTGGGAATTTGTTGTTGTCAATTTGGATGCCCAATTTGCCACATTAAACCTGTGGACCCTTCGTAAAATAATTCAATACATGCTAAAGGTTTCGGGTCATTCTGATGTTCTGTAAGGTGCTATACAATTGTTAGGTTCTTTCTTATTTGAACTTACTTTTGAAGCTGTACCATTTTCTGTTAAACTCTTAATAATCACACCATCATGTGTACTCTCTTCACTAATTGCAATTCCAAGTCCACCTTGATCCTGTACAAATAAAACATCAGACATTCCGCTTAACTTGCTAATGTATTAAATCAAATATACTAACATAGCACAGCTTGAATTATTAACGGAATTGTTGTAAGATGTGCAATATTTCAAACATTATTTGCTTCCGAGTTTGAATTTTGAATTTGAACTAGTGTCACGTGGGTTTTGTGTGTCTGAAAGGGTTAATGATTAACTTGTATGTATTTCTGAAACCACGATGATTTCTTTAAAACATGAGAGCGCAAGAGAGGCTTCCTGGAGAGTAACAGGTTTGCGTGTACATTGGCAGAATTTTACAAGCCAAGTAAACAATTGTGTATTAGGCGACAGTTTAGAAGGTTGGGAATTCTTTTCTTTTGCAGAAGAAATACCCATAAGCTCAGAAAAAAAAGTCTCTTTAAGTTTCAGATTTTAAATGGTCCATAAGGTCTTGGCTAAAGTTGGGTAGACAAAGCAGTTGCTTCTGAGAAACAGAGTTAGTTAGAATTGTGAAGAAATAGATTACCTCAGTATAAGTTTAGGAAAAGGTCCAGACCAGAAATGCTTGGTTAAAACTCTACAGAGGTTTGTTTGAAATGGAGGAAGTTTAAGTTCAGTTGTACGAAGTCTCCAGGAACAGGCCATTAGACTTCAAAATATGATCAATACAATAAATGGCAGGACCCTTAGGATCATTCATATACAGCAGGATCTTGGGGGGCAAGTTGGCAAGACATGTTGCAGCTGTATAAAACGTTAGTTAGGCCTAATTTGGAGCACTGTGTGCTGTTCTAACTGCCACACTATAGGAAGAGCATAGAGACTTTGGAGGCGGTGCAAAAGAGGTTTACCAGATTGTTTTCGCTACAACAGCGGAGGCTGACAGGCAACCTGATAGAAGTTTAGCAAATTATGAGAGGTATGGATAGGGTGGATACTCTGAATCTTTTTCCCTGGGTGGAAATGTCAAATATTAGGGGGCAAAGGTTTAAACTGAGAGGGGAGAAGTTGAAAAGGAGATGTGCAAGGCAAGTGTTTTTTTGAGAGAGTGGTTTGTGCCTGGAAAGCACTGCCACGAAAGGTGGCAGAAGGAGCTAAGACCAGTTTGGACAGACACATAAACAGGAAGGGAATAGAGGGGTACAGACGGGATTAGTTTAGAATGGCACCGTGGTTGGCACAGACATTGTGGGCCAAAGGGTTTGTTCCTGCGCTGTACTATTCCATGTTCTATGAAAGCAGTCTAGGATTGGACTTAACCAGTAATAACATCAAATGACATTACAATAACAATTATTAATTTCACAAGCAATGGTTACAGGAGGACTGACATTACATATTCCAGGAATAGCTCAAAGGAATACCAACGCTGTGTGAGAAATTTTTAGAAGGATAATAGGAGACAGACAATTCATTAAAAAGTTCAGACAGACTTAGTAAAGAGCCTAAAAATCTTAGAAAAATTCTCATATGGAGGTGACAATAGACATAAAATAGAAATTCATTTTGTCTTGTATATTTCTAAGGGCAGCATAATGGTATTGGATAGCATTAAAAAAAATTATAAAAGGATTTGATAGAAAGATTCCGGTAGTCAGATGGTTTACTTGTTCCAATAATTATTTTACTGCACGCCAAATTCAAATGTCACCAGACAAACATATCACATCATGAGATCATTTCAGTTTACACCATAAGACGTAGGAACAGGGTTAGGTCCTTCGCCCATGGCTGATATGTTTCTCAATCCTATTCTTCTGCTGTCTCTCCCTAAACTCTTGATCTCTTTACCGATCAATAACCTATCAATCTCTGTTTAAATACACTCATGGCCTGATGTCCACAGCCCTCTGCTGCAACGAGGTCAATCGATTCACTACCCTCTTGTTAAGGAAATTCCTCCTCATCTCAGTTCTAAAGGGCTGTCACATTCCTTTTTCTTCTAACCAAAGTACATAACCTCACACTTTCCCGCAGTGTATTCCATCTGCTAACTTTCCTCACCTGTCCAAGTCCTTCTGCAGCCTCCCTGCTTCCTCCACACTACCTGCCCCTCCGCCTACCCTTGTGTCATCTGCAAACCTAGCAACAATGCCCTTATTTCCTTCGTCCAGATTGTCGACGTGTAACGTGAATTGTTGTGGTCCCAATATGGACCCCCATGGTACTCCTCCAATCACTGACCGCCATCTTGAAAAAGACCTCTTTATCCATTCTCTCTGCCTTTTGCCAGTCCGATAATCCTCTATCCATCCCAGTACTGTGCCCCAGTATCATGGACTCATCTTACTTAGCAACATCCTCAGTGGCACTTTGTCAAAGGCCTTCTAGAAATCCATCTGGATCAAGTTGTTTTGATTAACTTGTTTGTTACACCCTCAAACAGTTCTAACAGATTTGTTAGGCATGATCTCCCCTTGACAAAATTGTGCTGACTCAGTCCTATGTTATAACACACACACACAAGTATCCGCAATCTCAACCTCAATAATAGACTCTAAAATCTTACCAATCCTGTCTTCTGCCTTCCTCCCTTTGTAAATAGAGATGTTACAGTAGCCACTTTCCTGACAGATCACCACCAACACCTCTACAGTCTCCTCAGCTATCTCCTCCAGAACTCTGCTGTGTAGTCATCTGGTCCGAGTAATTTATCCACGTTCAGATCTTTCAGCTTCCCTAGCACCTGCTTTACACTCACCTCTGCACCACTCCCCCCGATTCATTTGAAATTCTGGAATGCTGCTGGTGTCTTCAACTGTGAAAACTGATGCAAAGCACTTTTTCAGTTCCTCTGCTATTTCTTTGTTCCCCATTACTATTTCTCCTGCCTTGTTTTCCAGCAGTCCAGTGTCTACTCTTGTCTCTCTTGTAACTTTTATATTAAAAAAAACTCTCACAATCATTGTTTGCATTATTATTTTGTATCTGGAGCTAGTTTGTTTTCACAAGAGCTAAGATGTTTCAAGATCAGTGTTTTAAAAAAAGAAGTAACCACAAAAGGGTATGTTGAATTGGAGTATCATAATAGCTCAAATTGATCCTTGGTTTTATCTGAGGCAGGCAAGCAACCAATTCACTCTTTTGGACATGGCTAGGACACACTAATATTAGAATGAGGATGTGTGGTGTATATTTAACCTGTCTACCAGGTTTAATTTTGGTGGGCCAAGTTTCCCATTCTTAAAAACAACCCAGTAGTAAAGGTAGAAGAAGAGAAAGTACCCTTCCAACATTTCTGGTAGGCTAGAAGCAGTAGTGCTTTCTCCTAACCCATTGATCTCGCCACCTCTGTTGCTTACCGTTGGATCACTCTGACCAACACTGGGATCAGGCAAAGGATCCCTCGACAAGAGCCAGATCAACCCAAACTTTCCACGCTAAGTTAGGTACTGGATCCCCATTTGGTCCTGGCATGAAGCTTCCAAAGTGCTTTTTGCTTGATCAAGAGCCAAAACTATCATCAAGAGGCTGACTCCAGAATGGGGAACAGGTTTGAAATAAGAGATACATAAGATATATTAGGGCTGCACGGTGGCTCAGTGGTTAGCACTGCTGCCTCACAGCACCAGGGACCAGGGTTCAATTCCACCCTTGGCCGACTGTCTGTGTGGAGTTTGCACATTCTCTCCGTGTCTGGGCAGGTTTCCTCCGGGTGCTCCGGTTTCCTCCCACAGTCCAAAAATGTGCAAGCTAGGTGGATTGGCTATGCTAAGTTGCCTGTAGTGTTCAGGGATGTGTAGCATAGGTGGGTTATAGGGGTATGGGTCTGGGTGGGATGCTCCAAGGGTCGGTGTGGACTTGTTGGGCCGAAGGGCCTGTTTCCACACTGTAAGAATTCTATGATATATATATGGGATATATAAGAGGCATGGATATTTGGGGGAGATAGAGTTGCAATTGCAGTGTCATTGGACTAAAATGGGAGAGGTTCAGCTAATTCAGGTCCCCTGGAGACACAAGTTCAAATACCAACACAGAAGAATTCCAAAACAGAATTTCAATATTCGATTCATAAATCTGAAATTGAAAGCTAGTTTTTGAGGTTTAAAAACGCATCAGGTTTCCTAATGTCCTTTATTTTGGCAACAGCATTTTTGCAGATGCCTCAGAGCAATCTGGAAAGGGTGTCCTACTTGTTGAAAGAAACAGTGTTACATCGCAGGAAAACTGAGTGGTCTTGCCCTACTGGAGGAGTAGCGACTCCAAGGGAGACAGCTGATTAATAAATAGGAGATTAGGTCTGGTAAATATTTATGACATTTATTGCTTATAGCTTGTAAGGTCTTTTTATGGTTCATTGCTTCCAAGGGTTGCATTCTGTAGTAAAATGCAACAGGGCAGATTGGCACAGAGAAGTTGATATTATTTGATATTAAACATCTTTCAAAAGGTTTAAATTAAAGGGGTAAGTCTTGGCAGGGGAGATCAAAGCCACAGTTTGCTCCTAATGCTCTGCGGGAAGCCAGGTAAATTTCCAGTGCCCAGCTCCAGCACGCATGCTGGAGCTATCTCCAGCTGCAACTCCTGGAAGCACAGGATTTGAAGCCGAAGCAGCAGCTGGGGACAATCCGCAGCATCCACAAAGCTGAGAGAATTGTGCACATTACATATAAAGAGGTGGCCACACTGCAGGCTAAGACTCCATATGCAGAAAGGAAATGGTGACCATCAGGAAGAGTAAGAGGACTAGGGAGGCAGAGCAGTCCTCTGTGGCCATTCCCCTGAAAAACATATATACCACTTTGGAGATAGTAGGAATTGCCAATACTGGAGAATCTGAGATAACAAGGTGTAGCGCTGGATGAACACAGCAGGCCAGGCAGCATCAGAGGAGCAGGAAAGCTGACGTTTCGGGTCTGGATCCTTCTTCAGAAATGGGGGAGGAAAAGGGGATTCTGAAATAAATAGAGAGAGAGGGGGAGGCGGATAGAAGGTGGATAAAAGGAGCAGATAGGTGGAGAGGAAACGGACAGGTCAAGGAGGCGGGGATGGTGCCAGTAAAGGTGGGTGTAGGTGTGGAGTTAGGATGGGGTTTGGTCAGTCCCTTGACTGACCAACCCACTTCCTAACTCCCCACCTACATTCACCTTATACCAAATTGGATACTGTTCAGGGGAAATCACCTCTCAGGATGAAACAGCAACAGCCAAATTTGTGGTATCACGTTGGCTCTGCTGCATAGCTGCAGAGCAAAAAGTGTGGAAATGCAACTGTCATCGGCCTTCAACCACAAGGGGAATAGACAGGCATTTCTAAGGCCGGAGTAGACTTGATGGGCCTAATGGCTTACGTCTGTTCCTATAGTCTATCTTATGGCCAGAAATGAGACTCCAGGATGGTATTTTGCTTCCCTGGTGCCAGGGTCAAAAACGTCCGAGTGGTTACAGGACGTCCTGAAGGGGCGAGGGTGAACTGGCAGTGGTTGTGGAACACATTGGTACTAATGACATAGGTAGAATAACAAGGTTCTAAAAGATGAAGATTCAGAGTCAGAAAGTAAACTGAAAAGTAAGACCTCAAACATAGCGACCTCAGGATGGCTACTCGTGCTAATCGGAGAATAGATTGGATGAACATATGGCTGAAGAGATGGTGCAAGGAGCAAGTGTTTCAGATTTCCAGGTATTGAGTCCAATTCTGAGGAGGTGAGATCAGTACAAGTCTGAGCAGGTTCAGACTGAAGCCCTAAGGGAAGCATTTACTAGGGTGGTTGGGGAAGCTTTAAACTAAATTGGCAGAGGATGGGGAACTCATGCAATGAGTTCGAGAAAGGGAAATTAAGAACAAGAACAAAAGACGAAGGGAAATATGTGAAGGGCATTGGAATCAAAGGGCCTTTTGTACAGGTCACCCCTGCTTCAGAAAAGGTCCTAATGATCTAAGAACCTGAAACCCTGCCCCATCCAACAGCTCCTTAGCCATGCATTTATCTGTCCTATCTTTGTATTCCTTGCCTCAGTAGCACATGGCACTAGTAGTAACCCAGAGATTAATGCCCTGGAAGTCCTGCTTTTCAGCCTCTTTTGTAACTTTTTGTACTCATTCCACAGGACCTCATTCCTTTTTCTACCTATGTTGTTGGTACCAATGTGCACAACGACCTCTGGCTACTCATCCTCCCCTTTAAGAATTTTGTGCAACTGCTCAGAAATGTCCTTGACCCCAGCACCAAGAGGTAACACACCATCCTGGAGACTTGAATGCGGCCTCAGAAAAGCTTGTCTGTGTCCCTATCTAGCGAGTCTCCTAATACTATCGTTTACTTGGATCTTGCCAGACACTACTTTACAGCAGAGCCGGTTGTGGTGTCACGGGCCTGGTTGCTACTGCTATATTCCCCTGAGAGACTGTACCCCCAACAGCTTCCAAAACAGTATTCCTGTAGAGAGGGGAATAGCCGCAGGACCTGCCTGCCTCTCCTGATGATTACCCGTCTACCTGACTGAACCTGCGGTGTGACCATCTCCCTGTAACTAGTGTCTGTCACACTATCTGGTGCCTACATGCTCCTCAGTGTGTCCAACTGAATTTATCATCGAGACGGAGAGCGAGATAACTGATTCTGAGAACAGGGTCCTGAATCTTAATAACAGAAATTACAACGTATGAGGCGTAAGTTGACTATGATGGATTGAGAAATGTTAATGAAAGGAATGACGTTGGATGAGCAATGGCAAACATTCAAAGACTAAATGGGTGCACTACAAAAATTCTTTATTCCAGTTTGGTGCAAGAGTGCAAAGACAGAAGTGGCCAAACCAAGGCTTATGAGGGCTAGTATTATATGCAAAAAAAAACAAAATTCGGCAAGAGAAAACAATAGACCTGAGCATTGGGAACAGATTAGAAGTCAGGAAAGGAAGATCAAAGGTATTGATTAAAATCGGACAAAATAGAGTATGGGAGTAAGCTTGCAGAAAAATAACTGACTGTAAAAGTTTCTATAGACAGAAAAAGATGGGTGAAAATTTACTCTTACAGTCAGAAAGGGGCAGATTTATAATGGGAAACACATAAATGACTGACAAACTAAATTCATATTTTGCTTCTGTCTTCACAAATGAGAACACAAACATCACACCAGAAATGATGGGATACACTGGGTTTAGTGAGAGGAAGGAACTGAAGCAACTCTGTATGAGTAGAGAAATGGTGGAGAAATTGACGAGATTGAATGCTAATAAATCTCAAAGGCAGATAATCTACATCCTAGAGTACCTAAAGAAGTGGCCCAAGAAATAGTGGTTGCATTGGTTGTCATCTTTCAAGATTGTTTTGACGCTGGAATAGTTCCTACAGATTGGAAAATAGCTAATGTAACCCTCTTATTTAAAAAGGGAGGTAGAGAGAAAACAAGAAATTATAGTTCAATGAGTCTGATATCATCTGAGAGTAAGATGTTAGAATTCGTTATCAAGGATTTTAATAGCAGAGCACTTCGAAAACAGTGGGAAAATGAGACACAGGCAGCGTGGATTTACAAAAGGGAAATTATGCTTAACAAATCTACTTGAATTCTTTGAGGATGTAACTAGTAGAGTTGATCAGTGGGGTCAGTGGATGTGGTTTATTTGGACTTTCAGACAGCTTTTGATAAAGTTGCACATATGAAATTAAAGCACAAAGGATTGAAAGTCGTGCATTGAGATGAATAGAAAATGACTACCTGACAGGAAACAGAGTAGGAATAAATAGGACTTGCTCTAAATGGCAGGCAGTGATTAGTGGGGTACTGCAAGGATGGGTACTTGATCTCAGCTATTCACAATATATGTTAACGATTTAGATGAGGGAACTAAATGTACTCGCCTAAAATTTGCAGATGACACAAAGCTGGGTGGAAGGGTGAGCTGTGAGGAGGATGAAACGATGTTGGAGGGCGATTTGGACAGGCTGCGTGAGCGGGCAAATAGATGGCATATACAGTATAATGTGGATAAATGTGAGGTTATCAGCTTTGGTAGCAAAAATAGGAAGGCAGATTATCATTTTAATGGCTGTAAATTGAGAGATGGAAATGTTGAACAAAACCTAGGTATTCTCGTGCACTAGTTACTGAAAGTAAACATGCAAGTGCAGCAGGCAGTAAAGAAGGCAAACTTTATGTTAGCTTTCATAGCAAAGGTTTCAAGTACAGGACAAGAATGTCTTGCTGCAACAGTCCAGGGCATTGGTAAGGCCACACTCAGAATATTACATGCAGTTTTGGTCTCCTTGTCTGAGGAAGATGTTCTTGTTGTAGAAGGAATGCAGTGAAGGTTTACCAAATTGATCCCTGGATGGCATGACTGCCATATGAGGAAAGATAGTGTCGGTTAGGTTTCTATCCATTGAAGTTTTGAACAATGAAGCGGGTACCTCATAGAAACCTAAAAAATTCTGACAGAATTCGACAAATTAGACACAGGAAGGGTGTTCCCAATGCCAGGGAAGTCTAGAACCAGAGGTTATAGTTGAAGGATGAGGTAAATCTTTTAGTACTGAGATGAGGAAATATTTCTTCACCCAAAGAGTGGTGAGCCTGTTGAATTCACTACCACAGGAAATGGTTGAGGCCAAAACATTGTGTTTCAAGGAGGCAGATATAGCCCTTGTGACTAAAGAGATCTGTGTGTACGTGTGTGTACGTGTACGTGTGTGTACGTGTGTACGTATACGTGTGTGTGTGTGTGTGTGTGTGTGTACGTGTGTGTGTGTGTGTGTGTGTACGTGTGTGTGTGTGTTTGTGTTTTTTTTTGGGGGGGGGGGGGGGGGTGGTGTGGGAGGGAAGAGTGCGACTAGGGCATTGAGCTCAACAATCAGCCATGGTATTGAATGGCACAGCTGGTAGTCTACTTTGCTTGTATTTTTTTCAGGGAAGAAAATCCACCTCCGTTGTCTGGCTTCCACGTGATTCTAGACCGAGAAAAACCGTGACTAACTCTCTCAAATGAATGAGCAAGAAAATCAGTTCAAGGGCAATTATCGATGGACAACAAATCCTTGCCTTGCCAGCAATAGCCACATCCCATGAAAGAAGAATAAAGACAGACAAAAGTGCTATAGTGTCTAAAATCTACAGTCACCCAACTTATTGGGTTTCCTGAACAACCTGCTCTCTCCTACTCACAAAATTAACCTAGCCGGGAGAGGCTAAACAGTTGTACTCTTCAAAGGAGTACTTCATGTCACAAACTGAACTGTATTGATAGCTAATATCTCAAGATCTTCAGCAAAGGACTGCTGAGCAGCATTTTCACTTGTCTAATTGAATAAAATACAGTTTGATTAAACATGTCCATGAACTTTACATACATCTACTGAAAATGTCTACATTAATTTTTTCTATAAATGAACTACAGTTCTGAAGATATAATTTATACTTTTTCAATAAATTTACCTTAGCAAGTAGAATATGTTGAGTATTTTTAAACAAGGTCAGATCCTTTCCAGTTTGGGATAATGATGTACTTGGCTCTTTCTTGAAAATCAAGTCAGAAAGCATAATTTCATCTAGTAATAATTGCCAACAATTATTGTAATAAAGTTCATGTCATTATTGTAACATCATGACTTTAAACCTTAGACTCTTAGAGATCGATGATATATTAAGATTTTTTAAAATCTTGGAATCATAGAGACCTTGTCTTGTTTCTCCTAACAGCTAATATAAAATTGCACAACAATTCAAACTAAAACCTTCTCTCTCTAGGTTGTTCCTGTCAGCTAACTACAGTATAATAGGCAGCAATATTGTTTTTTAGGGATGTGCGCTGCAGGGAAGTTTAACAGGAGGAATGATGAAAATATATTTATAAGAAATGATACAACTGTTTAAGAGTGCATAAATTTATGATCAAAAATATATACTTCATTTTGAATCATCATAGAATTAGGAAAGATAATCAAATTTCATGAATGGAGAAAGGATTACTGTTTTTTAGCCAGGTTCAAATCTCCAAAATGTTGTATAACTTTAAAGAGTTGCTCGAAAAATGTTTACGTACAGGTAAATGAGAGTCGTGCTTAATCAGTTCTCTTGGTGTTGGTTTCCAACATAAAGTCAAGTCTTTCCCATTAACTTTTTAAGCCATAAAATATCTACACAGTAAGCTTTAATTGCCTACACACTATGGATTTACATTTTTTCAATAATCTGCAGTGAAATGAATTGCATATTTTTCATTCGCACAACAGCATGCCTCTTTGTGGAATGTAAATCAGTAAGAGTTTACCCAAAGACAAAGAGAGATTACTCTAATGTTACTTAATCATATACCTCCTGGTGGGTTCCTGAAGTAGCTGTGATTATATCAGCCAATTTTGCAGGACTGACTGCCATTTGATTGACTGCATCTGTGCTTCTGGAAAAGAAATACAAACGTTGGTAATGAAAAAGAGAAATTTATTTTGCTCTGAACATCTACATGGTTCCCACTGCCTTAACAAATGATGTATTGTCCAAGCTTTACCAATTAGATCTGTTGTGTGTGAAATTTTAGAACAGTAGATACAAAATGCATTCAGTGAAAAGATCTGTTGAATAGAAAATAATTTTACTGTCCTTGTTAGGAGGGGAGATGCTGAAAAAGATTGCAGGGTCAAATACATACTGTGCACGTATTATAAAAATGTTACATCATACTAATACAAGAAATGATGGACATAGTGGTGTTAAAGGATCAAAGGAAACACCACAAGCTATTGTTATGGCATGCACATCTTTCCAAAAGCTCTGTAGAAAGTTAAGTACTTCGTGATTTTTTAAACTCCATTTATGGAATAGAAAAGACAGAAATTTTTCATTAAGTTCAGAGAAAGTATAAAACTGTACTCCTAAATTTATGGGCAGAAATTAGATAGGCAAGGAAATAAATGATTTGCACAATATACCATCTTTGGGATCTAAAGTAGACCAAATTATGCACTGAATGATAAAATTACATCTCATTTTGGTCAGGAGACATTTGACAGTCCTTGCAACAGGTGAAGAGATCACAATGTGATCCATCTGCACACATTGATGAAAGGCAGACAGCATATTGTCTTTGAGCCGCCAGATGATAGCATGATTGCTGCAAGATGCCAGTGCTAACTTTTCTATTTATTGGCTGCATGTATCATCAGCAGCAAACCCAAAATTGTAACTTCCCAGCATCGCTTAAAGCTAGCTTTCACTATATAAAGATAGTTCCTGCTCCAGTCATAAAGTACCCTATCACCTACAAAGCGAGTCTGAACTCAGAAGCATGACATACAGGTAGTCAGGATGACCCACTATCAAACTCTCAGGCAGGCAGGGAGAGCAGAAAACTACGCTAGGAGGCCAGCTCTGAGGACATGGATGCCAAAAGAAGTTAAATGACTTCAAACATGTGGTTAAGGTCAATAAGTAAATCTTTAAATGGACTGATAACTGCACAATTAGCCTCATACATTTTACAATTTAGCACAACCCTATATGCAAGTAAAAATTCTGTCAAGTCCCTTACCTTGTGCTTGACTTCAGCCGTAAAATTCTAGAATTGTTGCAAACCTCGAACCTACATTTCACAGCATGTATACACTACTAACTTTTCAACCATAATAGCCATAACACTTACTTACAAATCCATCCCACTGGCAGTAGAACAAGGTGCACTTAAACAAAGACAGCAAGAGTCGGAGATCTATGGCACAGAAAAAGGCTCTTTGACCCATCAAGTCCATATCAGTCAAAAATAACCTAACTATCGTAATCCCATTTTCCAGCACTCGGCCCAGAAACTTGTATGCCTTGACAAGGCAAGTGCACATCTAACTACTTCGTAAATGATATGAGGGTTTATGCCTCTACCACTCTGACATGCAGTGAGTTCCAGACTCCTCCCATCCTCTGGGTGAAAAAACATTATCCTCTCATTTCCTGTAAATCTTACCTTACCTTAAATTTCACACCCCCCGCCCCTACCCCGTCATTGATTTCTTCATCAAGGGGAAACATTTATTCTTGTCTACCCCATGTATGCCCCTCAATTTTGTATCTCTCAAATCACGTTCCCCATCTCAATCTCCTTTGCTCCAAGGAAAACAACTCCTGTTTGTCCAATTTCTCTTCATAACTGAAACCCTTTAGGCCAGGCAATATCCTTCTGACTCCATTTACAAGTTTGCTGTTATAGGTCAGATCTCAAACAACGATGAGATGGAGTAAGGAAGGAGATAGAATGCTTAACAGCATGGTGTAAAGACAACAATCTCTCCATCAACACCAGCAAAATGAAGAAGGTGGTCATTGACTTCAGCAAACAGAGTGGAGGGCACCTCCATTTGCATCAGTGGTGCTGAGGTGAAGACGGTCAAGTGTGACAAGTTCCTGAGAGTGACGATCATCAACAATCTGTCCTGGTCCACCCATGTTGACACTACCATCAAGAAAGCACAGCAATGCCTCTACTTCCTCAGGAGGCTAAGGAAATTTGGCATGCCCATAAAGACTCCTACAATTTTTTATAGATGCACTATAAAAAGCATCCGATCTGGATGCATCATAGCGTGGTCTGGGAACTGTTCTTCCCAAGACCGAAAGAAACATCAATGAGTTGCGAACATAGCCCAGTCCGTCATGTAAATTAGCCTCCTATCCAATGACTTTCATCCATATTTCCCGATGCCTTGGGAAAGCCACTAACATAATCAAAGACCCCTTCCACCCTGGTTAGAATCTTTTCCACCCTCTTTCGTCAGCCAGAAGATGTAAAAGTTTATATGCACCTATGAACAACTTCTTCCCCATTGTTATCAGACTTTTGAATGGACCTCTTATGTTAGTATTGATCTCGCTCTGCATCTTCTCAGCAGCTGTAAACATTGTATCCTGCATTCTGTTCTGTTACCCTGATGCTCTCATATAGTGCTATCTGCCTGTGAAGCACATATGACACCACTTTTCACTGTACGTCAGTACATGAGACAGTGATAAATCTAGAACGGCACACAATACTCTACCTGTGGCCTAAATCAACATTTTATACAGTTCCAGCATAAGCTCCCTATTCTTAAACTTTGAGCCTCAGCTAATAAAGTCAACTATACCATATGCTTCTTTAACTACATTATCAACCTGTCCTGACACCTTAAGAAACTGGTGTAAATGCACACCAAGGTCCCCCTGAACGTCCGTGCTTCCCAGGGTATGACCATTCATCATGTTTTCCATGTGTATTTCAGGAGTGGAGATGGGTGGAACTTTTGCCCTAAACCCCATGGAGGAAACAATGTTGATCATTAGTGGAACTATCACTCCTGTCATTGTTGACCATTGGCTGAATAATTGAATAAGTTAAGAACATGATAAGACCTAGGAGCAGGGGTAGGCAATTCAGTTCCTTGAGCATCCTCTGCCATTTAATATGATCATGGCTAATTTAATCTCAGCCTCAACTCTACTTTCCTGCGTGGGTCCCCATAACTCCTTAACCCGTTACTAATTAAAAATCTTCTTCTTCCTTAAATTAGTTCAGTGCTTCAGTGTCCACAGATTCATGACCCTTTAAGAGAAATTATTCCTCATCTTGTTTTTGATTGCCCCACAAGGATAAACATCTGCTGTATGACTATTTTGTCAATTCCCGTTATCTTACACACTTCAATTAGATCTCCTCTCATTCTTCTAAATTCTAGTAGACATAAACTGTGCTCAATCGCTCTTCATTACACAAGTCTTTCTTCTCAGGAATTAATCTAGTGCACCTTTCCTGAATTGCTGTTAATGCAATTATATCCTTCCTCAAGGAAAGGGACCAAAACCGTACTCAATAATACAGAAGCAGTCTCACCAGTGCCATGTGCTATCGCAACAACACTTCCCTACTTTTATACTCTGTTCCTTTAGCAATAAGTGCCAAAATTCCATTTGCTTCTTATCTGCTATTCTTACAAATTAGCTTTCTGCAATTCATGCATTAGGACACCAAGATCTATCTATATCACAATATTTAGAAGTTCCTCTCCATTTAGATAATATGTCGTCTTTTCATTCTACTTACCAAAATGGAGAACATCAGTTATCCACATTAATCTCCGTCTGCTAAATTTTAGCTCATTCACCCAACTTCTCCATATTCACCTTTGAATTTCTTATTTCTTCATTGCAATTTCCTTTCCCACTAAACTACTGAGGACTAAACTTCCTTTCCTGGTTCCAATCTAAACTGACATTGTGAACTGTTCTCTTGACTCAATATTTAACAATATACCACAGTACAAGCCCTTTGGCCCACCATGTCTGCACCAACCAGAATACCATTCTAAACTAATCCCGTCTGCCTGCACAAGGTCTGTATCCCTCAGTTCCCTACCTGTTCAATGCCTCTTAAACATTGCCATCATGTGTGCCTCTACCACTTTTCCTTGTAGCGCCTTCCAGGTGTGTTAAAAAAAAAAAAAAACTTTCCTCTCATGCTTTGGGAAGTTAGGGGAGAAATTACAGGGCTCCTAGCAGAAATATTTGTTTCATCTATAACCATTGGTGAGGTGCTAGAGGACTGGAGAGTGGCTAATGTTGTGCCATTATTTAAGAAAGTCTATAAGGAGAAACCTGGAAACTACAGATCTGTGAGCCTGACATCGCTGGTGGGTAAGTTGTTGAAGGAGTTTCTGGAAGATAGGTTTTACATGCATTTGGAGATGCAAGGATTGATTAGGGATAGTCATCATGGTTTTATGCGAGAGAAAAGTGCCTTACAAACTTGATTAAGTTTTTTGAGGAAATAACCAAAAAGACCGATGAGGGCAGAGTTGTAGACATTGTTTATGTGGATTTTAATAAAATCTTTGATAAGGTTCTGCATGGTAGACTAATTAGTAAAGTTAGATCACATGGGATTCAGGGTGAGCTTGCCAATTGGATACAAAATTGACTTCACGGTCTGGGGGCTTGTGACCAGCAGTGTTCCACAGGGATTGGCACTGGGTTCACTTTAGTTTGTCATTTATATAAATGATTTGAATGAGAATATAGGAGGCATGGTTAGTAAGTTTGCGGATGACACCAAGATTGGTGGTAAAGTGGACAGTGAAGGTGGTTTTCTGAGATTACAAAGAGATTTTGACCAATTGGGACAATGGGCTGAGCAGTGGCAGATGAAGTTTAATTTGGATAAATGCGAGGTATTGCATTTTAGTAAAACGAGGACAGAACTTATACAATTAATGATAGGGCCCTGTGTAGTGTTGTAGAACAGAGTTGCCGATGGGTTTAGGTACATAATTCTTAAATTTGCACCACAGGTAGACACGGTGGTTAAGACAGCACTTTGCACGCTTGCCTTCTTTGCTCAAATCTTTCAGTATAGGAGTTAGGACATCATGTTGAGGTTGTACTGGATATTGGTGAGGCCTCTTCTGGAGTAATGTGTGCAGATCTGGTCACCCTGATGTACGAAAGATATTATTAAACTTGAGAGAGCTCAGAAAAGATTTACCAGAATGTTGCTGGGAATGGAGGATTTGAGTTATGAAAATAGGCTGGATAAACTGGGACTTTTTTTTTTAAACTGGAGCAGAGGAGGTTGACAGGTGATCTTATAGCGATTTATAAAATCATGAGGGGCAGATAAAGGTGAATAGCAAGAATACTTTTCCCTAGGGTGGGGGATTTCAAAACTAGGGGGCATATTTTCAAGATGAGAGGAGGATATTTTAAAAAACACATGAGGGACAACTTTTACACAGAGTGGTTTGTGTGTGGAATGAACTGCCAGAGGAAGTAGTGGATGCAGGTATAGTTACAACGTTTAAAAGACATTTGGAAAGTACATGAATATGAAAGGTTTGGATGGATATGGGCCAAATGCAGGCAAGTGGGACAAGTTTAGTTTGAGAACATGGCTGACGTGGACTAGGCTCCTCTCACCTCAAACCTATGCCCCCTGGTATTTGACAATTCCACCCTGAGAGAAAGACTCTAACTATCCATCCTGCTGTACCTCTCATAATTTGATATACCTCTATCAAGTCACCTCTGAGCTTCTGAGCAAAGACAATCTAAGTTTGTTCAACGTCTCTGAAAGCTATTATACGCCAATCCAGGTGACATCCTCTTTTGCAGCACCATCCCCCCGCCATGACCTCCAAATCCTTCCTGTAGTGTGGTGATCAGAACTGCACAAAGTACTCCCAAATATGGCCTAACGAAAAAGTTTTACACAGTTGCAACATGACTTGCCAACTTTTATACTCAAGGCCTGGGCTGATGAAGGCAAGCATGCCATATGCCTTCTTGATCATCTTATCCACTTGTGTTGCCACTTTCAGAGAGCTATGGTCTTGTATCCAAGATCCCTCTGTATACCAATGCTTCTAAAGGTCCTGCCATTTACTGTATAATTTCCTCTTGCATTTGACCACCAAAATGCATCACCTCACACTTGTCAGATTAACCTTCATTGGCCTTTTCTCCACCCAACTCTCCAACTGATCTATATTCTGCTGTATCCTTTGATAGTGACCGTCGTTATCCTTATCTCCATCATTTCTTTTGTTGTCTTCAGACGTATAATCAGACCACCTATGTTTTCATCCAAATCATTTATGCAAATATAAATATACATTAAAATATATAATACAAACAACACAAATCTCAGCACTGATCCTTGTGGAACACCACTGGTCACAGATCTTCAGTGAGAAAATATACCCTCCACAACTATCCTCTGTCTTCTATGACCAATACAATTTTGTATCCAACTTGCCAATTTACCATGGATGCCATGTGGCTTAATCTTTTGGACTCGCCGACCGTGAAAGACCTTGTCAAATGCTTTACTAAAGTCCACATAGACAACATCCACCACTGTACCCCAATCATCTTTGCTACTTCCTCAAAAAACTCAGTGAAGTTTGTGAAACAAGATCTCCCCCTCACAAGGCCATGGGAACCGTGTGGACAGTAATGGGTGAGGATTAGAGGTCCTAACAGCCTTCTACACAACTGGAATGAAGTCTCAAAGAATCCAAGCAAGCTTTCTAACTAGATTTCCTCAGCAGTCAGCCGTACGTATGGGCTGCCAATGTTTCGTTCCTATGGATGGTAAGCCCAACTTCATTCCGTGCCAATGCCTTCCCCGGCATCAACCATCTCCTCAATAAGCAAACATTGTGCCATTTGCAGACCTTTCCATGAAGGTTGGTCTGGAGACTCGGGCAATGTCTTAACTTGAGGTATTCATCTAATGCAAATCCCTAGCATCTAACAGCCGTAGCCAAACTGTGTTAATTTATATCTAGATTCCAAACTACATAAATAGAACTTTCTGTGAATGAATTTTGTTTCTTGACTAGTTTCAGAATACATCAAATTCCTGATCATGCTAATTAAACCACACTGTAGCAGTATATTGAGGAGCTGGGCTAACAATCAGTGGCATAACTGTTTTGTCACTCAAACTGTAATCCACAACATGGATTTAAATCCTAAAATGGTAGATAGTGACATTTGAATTCAAAGAAAAATTTGGAATTAAAAGCTACCCTAATGGCGACCACTTTCAATTGTGATAAAAGCCACCTGATTCACTAATGTCCTTTAGCGAAGAAATCTGCCACCCTCCTTAATCTATCTACTTGAGATTCCAGACCCACAGCAAAGTGCTCGATTCTTAATTGCCCTGTGAGCAATTAAGGATGGGCAACAAATATTGGCCTCGCAAGTGACATCCACATCCCATTAACAAATCAATAACAAGTTTCATTATTTATTATAGCAACCCCAAAGTACATAGTATTACATGATAAGAAGTATAACAGATTGATACAATTTTCTTTCAACCATGAGATTTTTTTAAAAATCAGGAAATAAGATGTTTTCATCTGTTATGCATTTAACAAATGCTAATTTAACAAAAAAATGAACATACCTAATAAATATAATCTTCACTTTTGGTGGCGCACTTTTGATTATTGATGAAGCATTTTGATGACTACGACCATATAGTAACTGCCCATTTATCTGAAAATTAGGCAAAATGGGAATATTAAGATTAAAAATATCCAACCTTGACAAGAGAAGACATTGTCAACAGCATAAAATGCATAATGTGTGCAGAAATTGTAAGTTTCTATAAAACCCCACTACGTTTTGATGTTAGAATTTAGGCTTTTCATTTGTTTGCGGAGATTTATAAATCAGCCTTGTTTAACAGAAACTTTTTTTTCCAAGTTAAGTACAAGGGACAAAGTCTTGATTTTCTTGTGGAAATGCTCCTTTGTGGTGAATTAGTGATTGCAATGCAGGAAAAGGAAAGATAATTACTTAAAATAATTTTATTTTAATAGCAGGAAATCTCTCCTATTATTGGCTTACAACAGCATATTGCGACACTGACAAGCAAAGGTGTCAATTAGAGATAAATGCAACAATATTTTTAAAGTTCCACACAAGACAACAAGTACAAAGGTCAGGGAACATAACACCTGCTCAGTCATGGAACAACAGAGCAACTGCACTGACAACTAAAGTATGCATCAGAGACAGAACAAAGTCAGCAGTAATTCTTCAACTCTCGTTAGGAATTGCACCCAATGGGATCTCCAAATCAATGAAATGATCCTACTTTGTGATAGGGAAAGAAGCTTTGAATGGAATAATCAATTAAAACAAGACTTAAAAAAAGAAACTGGGAGATATTAATAGAAGAAATGACTAGCTCTAAAGACTAAGATATAAAATAAGTTTGGGTGAGATAAATAGCAAAGGTATAAAGTCACTCAAGAGTTGTTTCTAGGCCTCCTAACAAATACACTGTAAGAAAAGGAATACAGTAAGAAATAATTGGGGTTTGAGAGAAAAGTAAGGTGATATTAATTTACATATAGATTGAATAGATGCATAAGATTGGCAAAGTTTGCCTGAAAGATGAGTTTTCACCATATTACAGTGCCGAGAGAGAGCAGGTTGTTCTAGACCTATTGATTTGTGACTGGTTAGGCCAATCTTTGTTGTCTGTCCTTAACTGTTCACAGAGCAATTACAAATCAAGTATATTGCTGTGGGTCTAGAATCTTATGCAGGTAGGTTATCTTAATTAATAACCTCTTAGAAAAGGAGCCCCCCAGTAGTAGTGATCATAACATTTCAAATTCAGTTTGAGGAAGAGAATGGACTTAAGGCTAACCATTTTAGACTAAAGTAATGGGAATTATAAAGGTCAGTAGAGATGCAATGGAAGACAAGGCAATACAGTAAACTATACCAAATGGCATTCTCCTTTAGTCAGAACTTCTGGCATGAATTTATTTTACTGAAGATAGTCAATTCAGTGCTCAGATAATACCTAGCTAATAAAAAAAAAATCAGATTGAACATTTACTAAAGTTGCTATTACCCTTTTCATTTAAGTTATTCAACCATGGGGCGGCATTGTGGCTCAGTGGTTAGCATTGCTGCCTCACAGCGCCAGGGACCCGGGTTTGATTCTACCCTCAGACGACTGTCTGTGTGGAGTTTGCACATTGACTGCATGGGTTTCCTCCCACAGTCCAAAGATGTGCAGGCTAGGTGGATTGGCCATGCCAAACTGCCCATAGTGTTCAGGATGTGTCGATTAAGTGGGTTACAGGGGGATGGGTCTGGGTTGGATACTAAGGAGGTCAGTGTGGACTTGTTGGGCTAAAGGGCTTGTTTCCTCACTATACTGATTCTATGAAATTAGGTCAGTTTTAGTTATTATTTATTATTATTATTAGCAACCATCAGTAAAACCAACAGCATGATTTTTTTTAAAGACTGATTTGGAAATGGTGGTATTAGTTGTGGTGTCATTCCTGTGATACCCTGTAGCTTTCAACTTCCCAGTAATTTTGGCTAACTAGCACAACTCATTCCTCAACTAAGCAGGAAAAAAAAAAGTGTTTCCTGTAATTCATAATGCTCAGCAAAGATGCTTTCTGGTGTGAAAGGCAGATTGTGGGAAAAGAACGCATCATTTGATTACAATTAAGGGACACGAAAGATAGTGTTAAATTGAAACAAAAACATGCATTCCTTGAAGATTGATTACAGGCAATACCAACAAAGAACAGCCAAAAAAGAAATTAAAAAACAAGAGAAAGCTAGCTAGAAATATAAAACAAGTAGTAAGATTTTCTACAGGTATTTAGTAATGAAAAGAGTAGCTAAAAGAATGCTGGTTTTCTAGAGTGTGTCAGGCGAATTAATAACGAAAAACAAGGACATACTGTTACTATAGATTAGATATTTTATGTTGTCTTCACTGTAGACGACAGAAATAACATCCCAGAAACAATTGTAAAATCAAAAAAAAAAAAAAAATGGGGGAATGTAAAACAATTACAATAACCAGGGAAAGGATACTGAAAAAAGAAATTAGAACTAAAGGCTGACAAGTCCCCAAGATCCTAATGAACCGCACTCTAAGGTCTTACCAGAAGTGGTTGCTGAAGTGGCAAATGCCTTAGCTGTAACTTTCGAAAATTTCATTGATTCTAATCAGATTACAGTCTTTCAAGAAGGTAGTAAATATAACTTCTCTATTTAAGATGTAAAGACCGCATCCCTTTATGTTTCTGTATTTCTGAGTGTTGACTGAAATGGTAGAAGTCCTATTTTAAAAACCAGGGATTGCTACACTTCTTAAAAGCAAGTCATCAGCAGTAATTGTAAAATCTTTGTGCATTGCATTGCATTCAAGCAGTGGTGGGAGTTTACTACAGACAAGTTGGAGTTGAGAGTGTGTACAAAGGTAGATTCAGCTGGCAACAAGCAGTTGAGTGGTCTGTACAGTAGTGACCAGGTGTTGATAACAAAATCCTTCTGCCTGACAATTATTTGAATGCTCCCGCATAGTTTGTCAGTTTGAACGAGATAGCCAGAAGTTTTCAGCCCTTCAAAAGGGAGGTGCTGTCATTCTCTATGCAGAGAAAACACTTAAAGCTAAAGAAAGCCATTTTATTTTCCCTCACCAGTTGGTGCGAGCTGTTGCATTTAACCAGTAAGTCAGACTTATATTTATGAACCAGTTCATCTGTGCCTCCTGCAGGGAAGCAAGAACACCTAGAGCGAGATGGATCGACGAACAGCAAGTCCTGACAAGGCAAGGGCTCATCCATGGATGAAACTTGTAGATATGGTTCACTTGGATTTCCAATAATGATTGAACAAAGTGTCACATCAAAGATTATTGAACAAAACTGGCGCTCATAGTATACGAATAACATACCAGGATGCATAGACACTAGTTATCCAAGAAGAAATAGACTGTTGACTTAAATGGATCATTTCAGGTTGTCAACTGGACTTTTGATGTCAGGATTCCGAATTTGGCCTCCCATGCAATTAAGTTCTCCCTTTCAAAGCAGCACAAGATTCTACCATTTTACAACTTAGCACCCTATCTTTGTGTCATCAGCAAATTTAGCAACATGTATTATGTCCTTCCACCCAAGTTTTTGGCATAACTAATAATTCCTAGCAGGTGGATCACAATGTGGGAAAATGGGATCTTGTCCACTTTGGCAGTTGGGATAGAAAAGCAACTATTATTTAAAATAAAAAGACAACAGAATTCTGAAGTAGAGAGATCTGGGTGCTCTGGCAGATGAAGCACAAAAGATTAGCATGCGGTACGGCATTGAGCAGGTAGGTAAATGGAATGTTAATGCTTATGACAAAAAGAATGGAATATAAAAGTAGAAATATTTTGCTGCAATTGCATAGGTGTCGGTGAGACTACATCTGAACTAATGCACACAGTTCAGTCTCCATATTTAAGGAAGGATATAATTGCCTTAGAAATAGTAGAGAGAATTCACTCAGTTGACTTCTGCAATAAAACAGTTGTGTAACAAGGCAATATTAGACAGATTGGTCTGTTTCCGTCTGGAGTTCAAAAGCATAAAAAATGATTTTATTTAAGTTATAAGATCCTGAAAAGACTTGACCAGATAGATGCTACAAGGATGTTTCCCTTTATGGGAAACTAGAAGTAGAGAAAGTTTAAAATTAAGGGGTTTCCCATTTAAAATGGGGATGAAGCATTTTTTTTCTTAAACTCTCAAAGGGCCATTCGTCTGTGGAACTCACTTCCTTGGAAGCAGTGAGGCAAATTGATTTGAGTATTTTTAAGGCTGAATTAGGTAAACTCTTGACTAACAAGGGAATTAAAGTGCATCAGAGGTTGACAGGAAAGTAGAGGTCACAATCTAAACAGTCATGATCTTATTAAATGGCAGAAGGAGTTTGAGGAGTTGAATCTTTACTCCTGCACTAAATACAGTATATATATACACAGAGATTAGTTGGTGAAAATAGCTTGACAACTTCAATGATGAAGAAGAAACAGACATTACTAGTGGAAAACTTTTCAGTGTTATGAGAATCCTTTTGTTCAAGGTTGCACCTGCTTACAGATTATGATATTACTGAATTACTTTATTTATTATAAAGATACAAGATATAACAAAAGGTAACATAAAATGTCTAGTTTGGCTTCTTTGGAGATAAATGAGCAAGACTTTTTGAACACAATTCATTTGATCAATATAAATTGCATGTGTGCTTCTTTGCAGCACCAGTCATGTAAAACATTCACAGTGAAAGATACTTGCCTCTAGCAACTCATCTGCAATCTGTATCCTGCCATCTTTACCAGCTGCTCCATTTGCATCGATGCCAACTACAAAAACACTCATTCTGGATCGGTCCTTGTTGCCAGCCAGACTCAGACCTAGCCCACTCTTCCCCTTCTCCAGCTCAATCATATGCAGCTCTCCCATCAAGCTTCCATATCGTTGTTTGATCTTTTCTTCATCGATTGTGCAGATCAGAAAAAAAAAAGTAAAACATTTACCAAAACTCACCCCAGTTAAATTGTTTGTACAACATACTGTACCAGCTTCAGTACAGATATTTCAGAAAAACAACCATTCATTTATTCTGATTTTTCTAGTCTACAAAAAAAAAATTTAAAAATTACCATAAGCATTTTAATTATTTTGTTTCCTGCAGTTTTTTTACTGTAATAAATATTACTGTTAAAGAAAATAAAAGCTGCATCAGTATATATTCACAGTTAATTGTAATTATCTTCAATTTCAAGGCTGTTTCATGCAATGTACTCATGTTTCTAATTACAATGAAGAAAAATTAATCTTAGTTTGCCTGAAAAAGCCGTATACAAAGCTTCACATTAATGGCCAGTTTTTCAATATTTTCTTTTGCCGCTACCAGTCTGAAGTGCAAATTACGATAAAAGGTTTCAGCTAATACCCAGGAACATAAACTATGTGTATGCATATATCTATACTTCCCACTGGAAACATTTGGGATAAGAAATTTATTTCTAATGGTGGCCCCAAAGTAGAGACACCAGACTGGCTGTCTGTAATACTGTGCCTGATATTCCGTTTTATTGCTGACAATGAAATTAAATCTTACACGTTGTACAGAACAGGTGGTCGGTCCAATAACATCCACTTTGTGCCACCACCTGAGAAGAACTTTCAGCTTCAAGGTGCAAGGAACGTTTTACCCCACTTTAAAGCCAGGTTCGACGTGTTACCACAATTACATCTCACTTGTAACCAAGTCAGAATTTACTTATGCTCCATTAACTAGCAGACAACCTTGGAACAGTATATACAGCAATTTAACCCAAAGTACATGTGCTGGCTCTTTGAAGTATTTTTGAGATTGGTTTCACTCCTCTGCTCTTGCCCAGAATCTTGCAAATGTGCCCGCTTCAAATAGTTTTCCCAATTTCTTTTTGGGATCTGTTATGGAATCTGCATCCACAACAATTCAGACTATTCATCCACATCGTAGCAATGTGCTAAGCAACTACTGTTTCCTATCACCTCTGGTGCTTTGATCAGCACTCTCTGGTTGTAGGAAAATTCTGCAACTGGAAGCAGTACCTCCTTACACTATCAAAAGCCTTCACAATTTAAACTCAAGTGTTTCACCCGATATTTTAAACAATCCACATCCTCTAGGGCCTCAATATTCTTAATAAAACGTGGTGCTAAGAATTAGTCACAGTACTCCAGCTGGGATCTAATCAGTGGTTTATATAGGTTTGGCAATAAAATCCTTGTTTTTGTACCCTAATTCCTTTATTTATAAAGCCAGAAATTCCATATGCCTTTTTAACAGCCTTCTCAACTTGACCCCTCGCTTTCAAAGATTTGCATATATACACTGGCATTCACTGTCCAATTAGTGACAGTGGAAGTAGAACAGAAGCAGAACTAAATCAGTGGCAGAGGCAAAGTTTCTCTACAAAATAGAAGCATACAGTCATTGAGTCATACAGCACAGAAACAGGCCCTTTGGCCTAACTTGTCCAGGCCGACCAGATTTCCTAAACTGAACTAGTCTTATTTACCTGCATTTGGCCCATATCCCTCTAAACCTTTCCTATCCATGTACTTGTCCAATGTCTTTTAAATGTTGTAATTGTGACTGCCATAACAAACTTCCTCTGGCAACTTGTTGACAGGCAGAATGTGGGTTTCTGTGATCAATGTATTTTCAATGCAAGGTTTTGGTGCTTTCTCCTTAACTGGTGGTTGTCCTAATAAAAATAATTCCAGCAGAAAGGTTTTTAAAGAGAGTTTTACGGTAAAGGTTATTTATTATCCCACACTTGGTGCAAGGTTTCTACGTGTGTTTCGCTCGTTTGACTCATACAAAGACTGGATACAGTTGAAAGAAAATATGATTACAATGCACAATTGTCTTAGTCTCTCTTGCGTGGTAGGGCTGTAGTTCCTTAGGTCAGTTGGTGCTTTAGGTGAAGTAAAAGTCTTGTAGAACAGAGGTTTCCTTAGTTAGTTGCAAGCATTGCTATAGTCAATTTTCCAGGAGATTGGTTCTCAGGTGATTGAAGATAGAAGAGATTGGAGAGAGTCTTTCATCCACTTCAAAGAAGAGCTATCATCATTGACAATCTTTAGATGCTTATTTATCCATGATCAAATGTTTTTGTTTGTGGGTGCATGTACCTTCTCATCCTTGGAGTAATTTTGATGGAATTTAATAATCCAGCAGTACGCTTCTGTATTTCAAAGTGAAGGCATTTCCTCACACACCTCTTTCAGAAATTAATGAAGTGACTCACCCATACTATTACACACCCACCAAAATTAGGTAGATGAAGATAATATAGTAATCCTAAAAAAAGGGAACTCATTCTCTATTTTGTTGGAAAACTGATGTTTTCAAGTTGACTTTCACTCTGGCTGCAGGGATGGCCTTAGAAATGCACAGATTTTTCAGGCTGACTTAAAAGATAGTTCAGAAGATGGATGGCATTCTTACTCCCTTTCAAGGTATTGTAGGAAATTACTAGCTGCCTAACTGACAGCATTGGTTAAAGGATTTTTTAAGAATAACTTCTTTCACTTTGATGGAACTCAGTCTCTCTGAAGATGTACCTCAAAGTCTGTTTGAATCTCTACAAGATCTTCTGTAGAGAACAAAGATGACCACCTTCCCCCATTTGATCTGTAACAAGTTCCAAATCATAGCCAAATAAGGTAATGGGTAATTCAGATATTTTCTAACCAAGCCCTGTTCAAGGATGTTATTGCATATTCCTGGAGCAGTTGGAATTTGAACCTGGCCTCTTGCCCACAGTTAAGGACACTCTCCCTGCACCACAAGAACCCTAAATAAAGGGTAATATATTTTGCAGTTTGTTATTTTTCTCACCTGTGGCTTTAAGTTGCTAAAAGTTTAGTTTTCAACATGGCAAATCTACATATTTACAATGAAAGCATGGGGGATTTCCCTTATTCCTTGGATGAAGCCACAGAGTCATAATCAAATTAAGGTTTAAGTTTGTCTTCTCAGAAGATGAAATAAAAACAACAGAAAAAAAAAACTAATTGTTGAGAGTCATTAAAAAAGTCCACTCTTTAAAATATAACTCTACACATTTATAATGTTATGTAAATACTGATGCACTATTTTCTTTTCTCTGGTTGTGTAGTTGTCTGGCAGCTTTAAGATGGACTCTGCATCTGCACAGCTGATACTTGGTGTTTTTTCTTATCAGTGTGAACTGTTACATTGCTCATTCCCAAATAAACAGAAAGATGAGCTGCCATCAATATTTTAACTCTTTTTACAGGTTGCCAATTCTTAAAAGGAAAGTGATGCATGAATTTCCCAGATATCTGTGAATGTTCATATTTAATTAGATACTTGCTTGAGTCTCAGGTTTGTCTACAACTGATGACATCAAAGGCAACATCAACTTAAGCAGGCATTTTATGGTCTATTTCTGTGTGAACGTTTTAAAGTATTATCTGGAAGTACATCACGTTCTAGTGTAATATTCCAGATATGGTTTCCTTATAACACCAAACAAAAATGTATACATTCACCCCTTCTTAGATACTTAGGCATTTTCACAGAGTAATTAAGGTACTGCTGAAGTTGCTCTATCACATTCGCTTTACTTAAAAGCAAATAATCCAAGTTAAATGTTATCTGCCGAATGTCTATCAAAATCAGCACACAAGGGTTCAAGAATGGTCACCAGAGATGTAGTTGTCAATGCAGTTATCTGTTGATGGAAGTTCTGTTTAGCTAGGAGATCCACAGAGCTCCTCTCTATTTTGTGGCTGCTTTCATGGGGCGAAGTTGTCGAATATTATTTTTAGATCCCTGGAAGGAGTCCAGGTTCTCCCCCTTACATTCTACCATCAGTGGTCTTGAACATTCAGGTTCAGGTGAAGTTAAGTTTCAAACCTATGCTGGTCAACTGTGGAGGGGAAGCCCAGTAATACTTGGTAATGAGCATACTGGTCACGCTGAAAGATTGGTTTTGAGACATACAAGACTAAGTCAGATCACGCATAGTTAATTCTTTGTTAGCAGCACTTGTACCTTTGTTCCTGCTTTCACAATTATGATTTGCTTTAAGGAGTAGCTTGCATGTTCAGTAGCCTGGATATCTGTGCTTTGTTACATATTTACTTCTATCTGCTTAGCTTTGTTTACCAATTTTTTCCTGAGTTAAGCTCTCCTCTTGCAGAAATGCTTTCATACCAGAAACAAGTATCCATTTTCAACTGTTTATTCTCAGCGTTTGCTGTAATCCCTTTTCTCTTATTTCAACAATTTTGGCTTAATAATAATTTTCCATTCTACTTCCAATTAGAGTCAAACTTTGGTCATTTGCAATGGAGTCATCCTGAACAGCCACACAATTTGTTATAGACTCAATCTGTGCTCCTTTTTGTTGCCCCAGATACCATGTGTTTTGTATATGAGGTGTGGGTGTTTTCTTACCCTAAGGGTGATTGTTGTAATTTAAATAATTCCAATAGCAATTTTTTTTTGTGAATTTTAATTAAAGGCTATTTATTATTCAACACTTGCTCTGGTGATTTAAAACACAACATCTCATGCATACACCGCCCATACAATATCACTCATACAAAGATTAGATACAGATAAAGAAGAAAACAAAGTGTAATGTTCAATTGTTCCACAATGCCTCCCACAGCAGTCTGCCTCTCTTACATGAGGTTTTGCATGAACGTAGAGCAAACGTTTCTTCTTATATTGTGAAGCTTCTTTATAGTTAACTTCCAAGGAAATTGGCTCTGAAGTGAACTTGAGGTTGGAACAAGTTACAATGAGTCCATCTCAATCTTAAGGTTTAGCTCATTACTACTTTGGCTGTGCAGCTATCTGGCAGCTGGTTTGTTGGCATTCAGGTGATCTTTGAGATTTTGCAGAGCTGATTCTTATGCCTTTAAAAGCAGGTAACAAAGACAGCTGTCTCATCCATGTGACCTGTTAGAAGTCTCTTTTCTGAACAAGTCCTGTGTTTCTGCATTATGGCTTTTCACAACTGGAAAGACTTGAGGTAGCAAAGACCTGCGGTATTTGGATGACAGGCTATGCTAACAGAAGAACGGTTGATGAGGACTTCTTCACATTCGTTTAAGATGCAGAGAGTTTCAATATGTATTTTGTCCATGGCGAAACAAAAAGACATGGCTGCTCAGATACTGTACTTCTGATGATGATCCCTAATATGAGAGCGTCTTCTAGATGGCTGCGAATATGTATATTTAACTACGTGCTTCTATTTCAGGTCTGGCTGCAGCTGATAATATCAAAGATCACATGAGTTGCAGTCATTTTAATGTTTACTCTTCTTAAATTTTAAGAATCGTCTGAATGTTCACAACATACTGGGACATCACAATTACAAACATTAAAATTCTTTGAGAATGCGAGTCTGGGTCACGGGTACATGCAAAAAAAGTGGTACGTATGAACATTAAAAAAAGAGTGCCGAATGATTCAGGCTTAGGATTGGAAGCACTCAATTGGTAAATCCACTCCTTTCTCCTTTTTTGAAGAGAGATGCAATCCTGATATCCTCTGGTAGCACTCCTATCTCAAGGTCCAGGGTTGGGAGGTTCTGGCCACGAGCATGAGAATTTTGATAATTAGTTTGCTTAGTGACCTGGGATGGATCGGATTTGAATGAAGCATTTTTTCTATTTTGAGCACTGATAACATATTTTTCTATTTTTCATCCCCTTCCATTTCTTTCCAGCTCATCTTCCATGTGACACCGGCAGGATCTTCCCCTTTAGTGAAATCAGGTTCAAACCTGTCACTTTGTATCTCATCCACGTCTCCTGCTTTCTCAAAGATTTCCTGTTTCCAAATCAGTCCAATTCTTCCTGTGACTGTCCCTTAACTTATGCAAACACTAATGTGAATTATTTATTATGTATCCTTGCTAATATAAACTTATCCTGACTAATTTGCTGTGTTCACATTCAGAAATCTCAACTCACTTCTAATATTCTTCTTGTTTGTCAAATATTGTATATTTGTCAAGTGATTTCAATATCTCTCATTCTCCTCTGCTTGCCTGATTTCTCCATAGACCTGTTTTCCACATTGTAACTATTTTTAATACCCGCGTACCTTCCTCTTCAACTTCAGCTGATCATTTAATTATTTAACCTTACATGACACCCTGGTTTGGAACAAAATGTTGTTTTAATCTCCTCATCACCCCTCCCCCAAACCCCCAGTGCTAAGCAGGGACATTGATTTGTAAAGATCTCTGCAGTCATAAACAAGACAATAATATTTAAGGACATATTTTGCTTTGGATAGTTGATTTATCAATATATAAAAAACAAATGTACCTTAAGTCTGGAGTCAGAATTTGTTACTAAAACAGACTAATTTTGCTTGGTGTAATGCTGGCGTTGCAGATATAAGCAATTACTTAATTTGGATTAAGCAACACAGCTTTCTTTATACAACATTGTAAGAAATGTGAAACAACTCAGTTTCAAACTGTACAATTCTATTCAGGGAATGATCACAACAGAGCCAAACAAAGACAAGTTATTAACCTACATATTCACGGGCACAGGAATGCACTTATGTCGCAAAGTACTTCCTCCAACCTCTTTAAAGACATGCAACTCTATTCAGAAAGAAAATCTCTTTCCCAATTCTCGGTTTAGCCTCACAGAAACAAAACTGAAGGCTGATCTAGTGACTAGCTGCCACTAACAAAACAAGGTCATGTCCTTGGGGCAGCATGATGGCACAGTGAATAGCACTGCTGCCTCACAGTACCAGGGACCTGGGCTCGATTCCACCCTCAGGCGACTGTCTGTTTGGTGTTTGCACATTGGACTGTGGGAAGAAACCGATGCACCTGGAGGAAACCCATGCAGACAAAGATGAGCAGGCTAGGTGGATTGGCCATGCTAATTTACCCACAGTGTTCAGGGATGTGTAGATTAGGTGGGTTTATAGGGGGATGGGTCCAGGATGGAAGCTTTAAGGGTCGGTGTGGACTTGTTGGGCCGAAGGGCCTGTTTCCACACTGTAGGGATTCTTTTGATTCTGTGCAGTGAAGAGACATAATTTTCTTCATTCTGGATAGTTATGAAGAGCTAGTTATTTTCAAAATCCAATTCTGGCTGCCTATGCAAAGGTATTCATTAAAACACGGTAATCTCATAGTATTATTAAGAATATTGACAGACATTCACCAATGAAGTGTAGCTTCTCAGAAAATAGTTCTTTGCCAGATTTTAAAATCTAGAATGTTAGGCATCCACAACAAACTTAAAATGAATTTAGTTTCAAGAGGCCAAGAGATGCAAACAAACATTAACTATGGAATCTTTCTAATAAGATGGTTGGAGTGTTTGCAGGAGAATAATTTGTATTGAAGATATTGTCTTTTAGGATTTTATACAGCTTTAGTAGTAGTACTGTTGCATTTAAAAGAAGATTCATTAACTTTCCATTTCAATATCTGATGTGCCATATTGTAACATTTCAATTTTTTTTCAGAAATTACATACTCCAGCTGTAACCAAATTCATCAACTTCCTCCAATCCATCTTCTGATTTATTGCCCATGTTCTCTTGTGATGCCACAATTGAGCTTGTCTCCTCTTGTTCAACAGATTCAGATGGCAATAGCTGTGGATCTGAGAGTGCTGACATAATTTCAGTCTCTATATCTGGCTGGCTGGCGGTCTACATATTAAACATATACAAACACAATAAGACAGAGCAATATAGTAAAAAACATTTATATTGTATTTCTACAGTTGAATGCATACATTTATGTTGAAAATTATTAAGTTGTGTGTTAAATAAAAGAACGTACTGCACAATGCTCAAACAAGGTACATTAGCCCAAGCAATAAAGACAACAGGTAGAAAGTTCAGCAGACAAAAGAAACGGATGCCTGATTTTTATTGATGGATCGGGGACTGGAAAGTCTAATGTATGTTACAAATATTTGATTTACTCACAACATACACTTGGCAACTTGACTTCTGCTACCAAAGCTATACAATTCATCACTCACCTAGGCAAGGAATGAATTGACAACTGTAAAACTATTGTAGTGAAAATGATTGGATAACATTCTTGGGGTAGGTGGTGAAGAGTAGCTATCACCAAGGCTAAATGATCAGCAAATAAAGATTGATATCCAAGGATGTGCCAATGAGAAGATCCAACAAAAGCAACAGAATAAGGTGGAAACAGCATTACTCTGCTGCATCATTTGTAGTTTGACTGGTAGGATATCTACATTAGCAGGTCTTCAGATCTTGCCCACATCCTGCCATTGATTGAATAAAAGCAGATAGTGGTGCTTGCATGCAAATCCCTCATTTCACTTTCAGTGAAAGTTGTCCAGACATTGGTTTTGATCAGCCAAAAAAAAACACTGACCTTAGCAAACCTCCAAGGCCTCCACTGTTAATTAACTTTACAGACCTCTTTAGCATAGCAGGGATTACTTGGGAGCAAACATACACCAAGGATGCCACTAGATCATAATTATGCCTCAGACCCTTAAATCATGATACACTGAAATATAGACTGGCACATGTGCAACATCTAGGTCCCAGATTTTTGGCCAGCCTATTAACACAGCACAGTCACATTGACAAATTCTGAAACTAGATTGCCTGGTTTTGTAACATGGTAATTATAAATTACCTCGTAACAGTAAAACTTCAACAAAAGTACTTTCTGCCTTTGTTTGGGTCTTGCTATTCTGAAGAACCCAACCATGAAAGCAATCTACTTATGAACCTTTGTCAATAGCTATTTGGAGCCAAGCCTAAGGAGATAAAGTAGACACCAGTTTTCCCTCTGATTGTTTACATTTTGTGGGGTTGCAATCGGCATCCATTCAGATCTCTCATGTGACAAGAAACTTTCAGTTCAGTATGTAAAGGGTTTTGACTTGAATAGATTAATGGTAACTTTTAAGGACAAACAGATAAAGCATAGAGAGGATGGGTAACAGATCATATACAAATACTTTTCAGGCCACCTTTTCTTCCCCTAGCCCACGTTTTCAAATATGATTACTCTACTAAAATGATTATTGTGCTGAATACAAAGTTGCTAGTTGTTAGATTCAGCAAGAACACAAGTTAAAAAGGTTTTCTTTAAAAAACAAAACACCAATGTGATAAAATCGCATCAACAGATAGCACAGTAGTCCTATGAAGAACAAAAAGTGAAGCTACTTCAAAATTAGAACCCATTGCAATAAATGTTCAATTGTTATTGCAATACTAACACACACTATCCCTATGCAGGATCACTGCTCACTTACACTACTTGTGTCAGCGCCTTCATGATGACTCAATATAGTTAGACAGACAAGCACATGATCATTAGTGGTGATGTGGAAAGACTGAGGGAAAGAAAAAACATTTACTAGTAATTAAATTGTTTGGAGTACTTGTATATTTGAGTTAATGAATATTCCCAAAGTGGTAGTTACAAATGGCTTTGAACTTAAAAGTATCGCACTTATCAAAACTTATATTGGAGGAGTGGTAATGGAATCTAATGAGACAAAAGACTTGTACAATATTCCCCACTGACCAGAACTATGGTAGATATACAGTTAGTCCACTTCAAGGGCAAAGATGCAGACACCAATTAAGAGACAATTGGATATATTGATGGCTAAACCAACTAGGGAAGAGGTTTGGGGAGCTAATTCAACCCTGATCTAGTTACTGTGGAACAACATAAAAAAGCAGCCAAGTGTGAGATCTTTTCATGTCAAAGCTGTATAGGCATCCTATTAGCCTGTAAGTTGAGTGCTGTCTAGTTTTAGTCACTGAGGTCCTTGAAAAATATCCAAGTACAAGCATGAGATAGGACAGTCAGAAAGCTGAGTCTGACAAAAAGTTAGAAAATATCAAAATAAATACAGAAAATGGATAGACTTTTTCTTTTAGAAGAAAACTCTATTAAACCTTGAGAAGGGGATTCTAGAAATATGCAAGAAACTAAATGGGCTAGGAAGATCAGAAGGGTCACTGGACTGAAGGTTAACTCTGCTTTCTCTCCATAGATGTTGCCAGACCTGCTGAGTTCCTGCAGCCATTTCTGTTTTTGTTGGGAATGTAACTATTGGTATTGATTCTGGAATTTCCAATTCACATCTACTGTAGATACACTTTTTGTTTCTTCGCATGTCCCAAAACTAATGAGTCTTTTGTTCTGCATCATCATGCAATTTATATTCTATTTCATTTTGTCACAGATCTTTTACTTTTGATCCCATGACTGTGCCAAGTGTAAACCTGTTACATCATGAACCTTTTACCATTCAGATTAAAAGGTCTGAAATATTAATAACACTTCATAGACATTGCCAGATCTTCAGAATATTTTCAACATTTTCAATGTTATTTTGCATGAGGAAATGTTGACCCTAAACAATGTTTGAAAATGAAATGTTGACCAAAGGAACATAGGGACAATGTAATACATGTCTAACTGATTCATCGCCATTGAGGATCAACAGTAGACACTTTATTGATCTTATTCACTATCCAAATAATTATCTTTTCCAATCAAAACTATGACTTGCAATACCTGAAACTCACCATTCCCATGAAATCATATTATGATATGGAGTTTTGATCCCTAGATACAAATGAATGATTGGACAATTGTCTAAAATGAAAAATCCATGCTTGCAGGGAAAATGAATCAGATATGCTATTGTATTCCATAACATGCACTCTCATTGGGAAGATGGAACCACAGAACAATTTTCAGAATCTAAGAATTAGGAACTAAACTGAAATGCAAATGTCAAGCATAGAATTCATCTGCTGCTCTTGTAAATATACAGCTTATTTAATTTTTGATTAGAAGGCCAGGAATATGAAAGCAAAGCCAAATAAATGCAACAAGTTCGAACTTCTCCTGTTAAAACCAAAGAACTAAATAAAATCTGAAAAATGCCTAAGTATTCTTACCAAGTAAAATGAGTAACTTTCCAAATACTGAAATATGTCATAATACAGCCATAACAATCTACAGCACAGGAAAAGGCCCTTTAACCTGTTGTACCCACACTGGTCAAAACATCCACTTAACTACGGTAATCCTATTTTTCAGCCCTTGGCTAATTGCTTTGTATATGTTGGCATTGTTAAGTACACATCTAAATTCTCAAATGTCACGAGAGTTTCTGCCTCTACCACCCTAACAGAGAGCGAGTTCCAGGCTACCACTAACCCCTGGGTGAAAACATTTTTCTTCACATCTCCTTTAAACCTTCTGTTCCTTAAATCTATTCCCCCTGGTCATGATTCCTCTATCAAGACGAAAGGTTTCTTCCCTTTCAACCTACGTATACTCCTTACAATTTTATACATCTCAATCTTGTTATCTCTCAGTCTCCTCTGCCATAAGGAAAGCAACCTGAGTCTGTCCAATCACTCTCTGTAACTGAAACTCTTCAGTCCAGGCAACATCCTGGCAGATCTTCTCAGCACCTTCTCTAGTTCTATCACACTCCTCCAATAATGTGGATTCCACAGAACTCCACACATCTCCAACTGTGGCTGAACAAACATTTTAGAGTTCTGGCTATGTCACTGCTCTTCAAACTCTATTCCTCGATTAAGAAAGGCAAGTATACCACATGCCTTCTTAGCCAGTTTATCTACTTGCCTCGCTACCTCAAGGTACCTGTGAACATGCACACCACCATTGCTCTGATCCTCAGTGTTTCCCAGGGTCTTGCCATTCATCACATATTTCTTTACCTTGTTTGTCCTGCTCAAGTGCGTCACCTCATATTTATCTGGCTAAAATTCTATTTGCCACTGATCAGCATATCTGAACAGTCTATCTATACCACTGTTGCAGTCTAAGGCTGTCCTCCTCACTATTTACCACCCCCAATGCTTGTATCATCTGCAAACTTCCTGATCAATCCTCCTATACTCAAGTCTAAATCATTTAAATGAACGACAAACACCAAGAGCCCTGTGAGACCTCACTCAGCACAAACTTCCAGTTGGAAACATCCTTCAACCATCACCCTTTGCTTTTTGCCACTCAGCCAACTGGGAATTTTGCGCCTGGCAAATTGCCTTGGATCCCATAGGCTCCTGCCTTTGTATCAGCCTCCCATGCAGAACCTCATCAAAAGCTTGGATGAAGTCCAAGTATATCAAAAGCATTGCACCCTCGCATCTGTACATCTGGTCGCCTCTTTGAAAAATTCAATCAAGTTGGTCAGATATGACCTCACCTTAATAAAAGCATGTTATTATTCTTAATTAATCCCTGCCTCTCCAAGTGCAGATTAATTCTGTCCCTCAGAATTGCTTCCCATGGTTTCCCCACCAATGAGGTTAGACTGACTGGCCTGCAGTTTCCTAGTTTATCACTTGTCCTCTTCTTGAATAATGGTACTATATTGGCTGTTCTCCAGTACTCCCACTCCTCTTCTGTGGCTAGATAGCAATTGAAATTTTTTGCAAGCGCCCCTGCTATTTCCTCCCTTACTTACTCTGCAGTGGAGGAGAAGAACAAGCAATGAAACAGACTTCAAGGTGCAAAAAAAAGGTTCAAAAGGATCTGACAAAAATTCTACAAAATAACTACAAAGGAAGTAAAACCAGTGTTAGCCCTTCAAGATCTGCTTTTTGAATCATCAAGGAATGTGGTCAGTGGCCTTCCCTGCTAG